AGTATGTACGGAAATAAATACACTAAAGCTACATGAGAAGTTCACTGATATTGAAGCCGATCGGTTGCGTGATAAATTGACATTGCATATTCCTAACCGCAGTATGATTAGAAAAATTTTAGCCAGTTTTACGGCCAAAATACTTAAAGAAATGTGGCCGAACACAGAACAACCAATTTTCAAGAGCTGATGCAACAGAATTTTTAACATTTCTCGCAGGGGAGTTTATGAATGTATTTTACTAAGTAGCACCATCACTTTGTTCCTGATAAAAATCCCTTTCTTTGTTGGTGATTTGGCATCGCTACCTATCAGTGATGAAACATATGCGAAATACTAACACGCAGCATGCATTAAGGTGGGTAGTAGCAAAACGTCTTTATAACACTACTAACGAACATAAAACGAATATGATGCAAAGTTCCTCGAACTTGAAGTTTTTTGTAAAATTTATTCACCATGAGTTAAAATTAATAAAATTTAGTATCGATCTTATAAAAAATAAATCAACCTTGGTAATTAGATGGCATTAATAAGACTTCAATTTTTCGGTAAATAAGCAACAAATTCGCATTCTATATCCATGACAAAAGGGATTGGATGTATCAGATCACTAAAGCCACTAACCTACTAGCAGAAGAACACTTACAGCTTTGATGAAGCACTGTCCAAGGTTGTTGGTAATGTGATCTGGCCTAGCGTTATGGGCCTCCAGCATGTAGCAGAGAAGGAGTGTATGGCTCTTCAGCACTTCATCCAGGTGGGGGAAGAGGTTCTCATTCAGATTCAGGGAGTCCTCACGTCTTGGCGGAAAGGCGTTCAAGAAGACATCCCGTATCATCACGAGCAAATCCACATAGCGTATTTCCGTTGAGATGAGTTCTGCAGAAACCACCATTAAAGCGCACATCAGGTAAGGCGTCCAGTCACCTCACAATTCACTTTAACTTTAAGCCCTTCAACTATATCACATTTAACATGCACATTTATGTATGCATTATAGTTCCAATATCATTTTCTATGTTAAACCATACAAGCAGCGTAAATGTTCACACGGCAAAACAGCCATCCAGCAACTGTGGTATAAAGATCAGCAGGAAGTTAAAAAAGAATAGTAGGGATGACATTTTCATCGTTCACGCTCATAGCTAGAGGGGAGCGACCCATCCAAATGCTGCTGCTATGAATTTAGGATTGCTAATATTACAAAGACTTATGAGATATGTCGGTACTCCAGCGAAAAAAAGTTGGCATGAAATAAGGCTCAAAGCTATTTAAATTGTGCATTATTTAATGAACGTCAGATTTCCATTTCTAGAAAGCAGTCTAAAAGCAATCTCAGTTTTCCACTGATCAAATGGTAAACATAGAAGCAAGTTTTAACACGGTAGATGGCGAAACCGACATCGGTAATTTATCGAATTATGCGAGAATCCCCAAGCCTATTTGCTTCCGCGTGGATGAGGGACGCTTAAGGCACGTCAAAATAACTATTCCAAAGCTCTTGATCTTAAAACTAACGACCAAACGTCGTGCAAATTAAGGAAATTAGCTATGTATGGCAGGTGAATGGATAAATGAAGATAGAAAATATGGTAAATCACCCCAGATTTTGTCGTTCCGGCTGATGAAGTGGTTGGAATATTGCAACCGTTTATCCTCGCCCAGAAAGGCGAGCCAGCTAGGGCAGTCGACAAGATACTGACCCCTTTGGATAAGCTCTTCAGGGGAAGGATGCTGCTCTGGAACCTCAAAGTTGGGAGGCGGTGCGCGGTCTTCAACCTCAATCGAACGCTCGTTTGGCTCTACTGTACGCGGTGACTCATTCGGTGTGCTTGAGGGACCAAGTTAAATAAATACCGGTTGAATCACTCAAGTACCACCCAAAGTGGTGAAACATTCTCCGTTAGGCGCATATTTTCTGCATTCCTATTCATTAGTTTCTTTCACGAATCGATTATGGAACCCCAAAGGTATCACATGCATAACAAAAGGTTTTTCGAGAGTGTTGCAGAAGCTCAAGCAAACTAAGTCAATTATCAATCTCAATAAAAATTTAAAATATAAAAACTGTCACAGTGCATGTTCTTGAGCCTCTATCCTTCGGAATGAAGTTTGTTATGCAATTCCACAAGAAAGGGGATAAAAAAAGCCCTGTTTTTTTCATCCATTTAGTCGATCATATGAACGGCTGTGGACCCGATTACATAAGACCGCACATAATAAAATGAGGGTCCAGGAATACCAGAATCTCCAGTATGATATTTTTAAGCGCATAGAGTCTACGCCCAGTTTATTATCAAATGACTTCAGCAGTCCGGTGCATCTCACAATGCAAGACATGACGGTGAGTAATTATAAATGACTTGCAAAAAACAAATAGCATAGGTCAACAGTTGCATAAGTATACCAAAAACATCCAATATAGGCCGTTTTAATGATCTTCCCTACCTTAAATGTGTTGGGCGCAATAAAGTCTTGATACATTTTCTCAAAAAGTATTTGGTGGGGGCATTACTGCTTAGCTTGAAGAAAGCGAAAGTTACGTAACGGAACTCCAGACAGAATGAAAAGCAAATCTAATGCTCTCTAGGCCACCTTGAAAGGGAAATTAGGACAAAGATTTTGAGTGAAATAATTTAATATAGGGGTTAAAGCAGTTCAACAGCTTAGGGAAAAGCGTCGATTGTACGGCTATCAAAACGCGCTGAAATGTTAAAAGATTTGGGTACATTGGCTAGTAATGCTACTACATGCAATAATTCTCATTGCTATTAAAAGATAACCAAAATGCTGAATAAAGTATGCAAAAAGAGACTTACGACTCTTGCCCTGAAGATGTGAATTCTGCCGCTGCATCTGATTCCTTAAGAAATCAGAGAACTTAAATAGTGACCTACTATTGAGGATAAGTGAAATCCAAACACATAATTCATCCTTTGGTATGATAAACATACTGAAAAAACGTTGAAATTTAGTTTCTATGACTTAATTGTCAAAAACGCGAACACAAATAGGTAAGTGCGAAAGGATTTAGCAGTAGTTCAAACACCACAACTGTTCAATAAAGCAAATGATTGATGCAGCAGCTTTAAGCCAACGCCATATCAATACTAGTGTTGTGTAAATAAAAGTAACTGAGACAAACACTTTGGAGTCCTTCGCAGTCAAGTAAAAAATTACAACAAATATCTATCGGTGTTATGCAACACCATTGGGTCTAATAACGAAATATGGCCAGCTGCGAGTTCTAGAATGGCAGTGTTTAGCACAGAAGTTGGTATTTCAAACTAGACAAAGTAAAAAATTAATTACTTAACTTACGTCACAGTCCGACCCCATGGTAGTGAAAGCCAACGATCAGCCGACCTGACTAACGGAAATACAAAATTACTTAACCTATGGAAGTAATATCATGGTTTTAACCTTGCAGCAAAAAATACTTATTTGACTTTTGCTATCTTAAGGACCACAACACAACCGACGCAGGTGCTTTACCTAACATTTGCAAAAATGGTATCACATTAAAAGCGATCGCAGTGTGACTTTTAAACAAGTGCTAAACTAAAAAAGAACATTCCATCGTGGCAAATTTTGGTGATGCAAACAAATTCCTAAATTTTCTTCCCAGAATGTAATGATGTGGTTAAATCCACCTTGCCCCGTCTCAAAAACTAGCATGTTAGGATGTGACTGAACTTTTTAAATTACCGCAACCTGAATGTTTACTCAAATCTATTACCTAAAATTACACCATGATAAGTAATTTAGTCATTGAGTAAAAATTGAAGACTTTCTGCATTTCCTGGAGGGTAAGTCAAAAATAGTATCAAAAAGTTACAAATGGAGTTGTTTTTCCATTTATCGCTTGAAATGACTGCATCCACGATGTTTTGTAGGAATGGCTCCTTAAGGTATCTAAGCAACGACCGTAAATGGAAAGGCAAAGTGACATATTCTAAGCAGAAAGTAATGAATCTCTGCACCATTTTAAATCAGGCTGTGAGTTTTCTAAATGATGGAGGAACACGCTTTAAGATGTGGGCAATTATTCGGACATGAAACATTCCCTTCACATGGCTCATGCACAGTCCTGGGTATAACTTATGCAAGTGCTAGACTGAATCAGCCAAATAAGCGTTGACAGACTTGAATGACAAGGATGGTATACAATTGATCGAGACGGACACTAAGAAATCGCGCAACGACTCAAATGCTTTACTTAAAGAATAACCACTAGATACTCCATGAAATTTAAGTTGGTAAGTCGTGCAACAAAATAGCATTTTGTCGTGCTTCACATAGTTTTGTGTAAAAGAACAATAAAAAGTAATACTTCGTGATAAAAGTGCAAACTCTTGCGCCTAGTAGCATCTAGTTAAGCAATGAAACGTACGAGATAACTAGGTACATGACCCGCTCCCCAATTTAGATGTCAAGGTTAAAAAGCACTACCATTTAAATGTCAATTATAATTTGCTACGTAGTATTGCGGCCCACACGAATAAATAGCAATCGAAAGCGTATTTGGTCTGTATGTCTAGATCAAGGCAGCGTAGTACATGAATTATAGGACACCGAAAATCTTAAACAGTCAGACAATTTCAACCAAAAAGGTAAAGGAGAAGGACACAGTAACAATGCGACAGCTAACAATCGAAGCTGACGCCTAATGAGGGCCTGTGGAACTGGTCCAGACAACAGTCACGAATGCGCACCACCAAAAATATCCAACTAAACGCAGGATTTTTATTGCCGATAATATGCGTACAAATCGTCTGGAATGCATTAGGCTCTAAAGATGATTGTGATATTAGTGAGTCGCGGTACCCAATCCATGCAGCTTTACTGTTTAAAATCCATTATTTAACATTGGGCATCAACTGACGCAACTGATTGGACAAACACACGCAAGACATTGAAATAAAAGCAAAAAAATTGAATGTTTGTCCCATAATGTCCTTGACTCATCAAACGCATGACGCATGTGCAAGCACTTCCTCCATCCAGATCGTAGCAAAAATACAGACAAGTGCGATAATGTCATAACTTGGACCCATCAATACCCTGTAACGAGTAAGATTTGAAATTAAGGGCTTCGTTAAGCTTAGTCCGCTATAGAATTCAGCGAGTTTTTATTTGCATATAGAGTTCATTATTTGATTCTGGAGGGGGCCAACATTCGCCAAAAGTCAGCTGCGTCTCACCAGGCGCACGTCAATAAGTGAATGATGGGTTCTTGATGATGCAGTTACAATTAATATGTCACATGATTGCCCTAGCGGCGGACTACAGTAATGTCTAGTAGGAAACGTCAATCCTCTCCATAACCGAGATGTCGGCTGGAATCAATGGGAGAAACATAATCTGAAAGAAAATCAGTGCACTTCAGACACACAACAGCCCTTAAGCTCGTGTGCGGGACTGGAACATCCGTTCAAAAATCACCCTGAGCAGAAACAAGGGATAGTCTTAAAATGACTGGTGTTTTAGCAATTTGATTAATGCTCATTTCGAAGCACTTCAAACAGCGATTTATCACATTTCTTAATTGTAGTATACTCAATGCTAAATCCACATCTACTGATAAATTAGAGCTAGGATCACAACGTCTGCTTTTATTAATGAAAGAAAAACTGAAACAGCCCCTTAAAACAAAAGCAGTGGTTCGGCGAATCGGATGTCAGAACATCACATGATGGAAAAGGCGTTCTGCTAACAACGCGCCGACGTGTCGCGCGCATTGATTGCTATAAATGTTTGTACGTGCATGCGCGCAAGTCTCACAGGCACCCGCGTTAAGCACGTTTTGGCTTGCATGCACAGGCAATAAGGAATTTTGCATAACGGGTGAACTCAAAGCATTCCTTTAAAAAAAAATGAGAAGAAACCGTATATCTACTACGTACCAGAAAAATTATACCTCATTGAAAGTACTAGAAAACCCTACACTCAACAGCTTCGTTAAGTGCAGAAAATATGTAGGAACGCGGGGTCGTATAAACTGCAGTGAGGCAGAAAAACACAGGAGTAAAAAAAGGCCAGAAAACTTAAACAAAATACAACAAACAATTAAGTACATTCCAAAAGGACACGCAAGGGTTGATAAATAGACATGGATGCCATATTTTTTGATATCCGGGAGCGTTCAGCAAAACTACCTAGTGAACACAGTTTTCCAACGATTTTAGATAACGGTAAAAACGGTAAATAATTAAGGCGGTAAAATCACTAAACGTAAATATGAGGATACATCATGGAGTTGACTTTGAATTATTTGGAGGGTTGAATAGTATGTGGGGTTCAACACCGGAAATTCGATGTGGAAGGTGGGCGGAGAGACTAACCTACGGTTTTGAACTTCTAGCGTGGGTACAAAAAGTTAATCTGTTCGTAATAAAACGAACAAACTCATATTAGGGGGCCAGAGACCAGTAAACAACTAGAAACTATGAAAAACAAAAGATACGTTAGAAATATGGTGTCAAACAAACTACTAGCTCGACAACTAACGAGCATAAATGACGATTTGTTGACGTAAAAGGCAAGGCACGGATTAAGCGTGGGATGAATAAAAACAAATGCGTGCTAATATTTGATGATTTTAGCACGGAAATGTTTCACGCACTTAAGCGCGCATACTTAAAGCATAATTTTCTCGCATCCAAGTTTCCATATGTAGTCTATGAGCAATTCAACCACAACTTCGGGTTTTTTAGTCACCACAATGTCATAAAACAAGTATATACAGAAAACGAATTACCATACTACCTACCTTTTACTACACCGCCAAATTACCAGATAAGTTACTGCGCAGACTACGAGGTGATTGATTGCTTAGTGTGGGTCATCATTACTATCATTTGGGTAGTGATGTGTGTATTCCTTCGAATCATTTCACTTAGCTATCTTCCACTGCATTAGCTTGCCGTAAGCACAGTTGAAATCATTTTTTCTCTACAAAATACTTAAAGATGTTAATTTTGGGTCCATCTGAATGTTTGCATTCCCTCCCCTTATCGAGAATCCACTTCCTCAAATGCATTTTCTGTGTATTGTTTATTCACTACCGTATTTTTTATTTCCTTTCAATTGCATATAGAGATTGCTCTGATTTGTTTGAAGGCTAATCAGATCTCTTGTTTAATTTCGGGTTTCCGCAAAAGAATGTTTAAGAGCTATGCCGAAGCATGGCAATGCCAAGTGATTATAATATTCAAGTGACCCAGACTTGGCGGAACTTCAATCCCGGGGCAAATAATTTTTTGTTAGGGCAAACCGTTTTCATAATGCCCGGTTATTTGCAGCTTCTGTCAGAAGAAGAGGCGTACGGATTTCTAAAGGACAGGAATCACTGCATTAGTAGCCGCAATGAATAATCAAAATGGTATTTGGCTTCATTTCGATTTCCAAAAGTACATTAAATTATGCACTCAAATATACACATTATCCTTGCAGGAGATCATTTGTAAGATACATTTTTGCAAATGTCACAACAGATCAAGATTTGTTGCCCTCTCTAGGTATTGTTTGAGGAAATGAGGACATATCGCCTACCGCTGTTAACTTATGCTGAATTAAACTTATAAGGTAAGGAAAGTCGATAAGACTTTTTGATTGATAATTGACCTTTATTGAAGTTTGTTACGGCTCCGCACAAATCGGATTTTATTCTACTAAGCCAGACATTCCAGTCTATATCTGCATATCTTTCTCTCTATGAAGAAGTCTTTTTTCTTGGGCAACGCGTCTTTCGACCATAAAGAACCAAACTAACACTAAATTTTAGCACCATACTGTGGCGTCTCGAGACCTCCCTGAAGACGCAAGAAGGCACAATACTCGGGCAGAATATATATTCAGCATAGAGAAGGTGTTTGGGCTACTGGCATGGCCCGGAGACCAGCCCACCCAGTGAGGTACAAGAAGGCTAATTCAAAAGTACAAAAGTGGCGCCTCACCAATACCGAAGGATAAAACACCATTGTATTACAGTACAGCTATGCCAGCCGAATGCAACTGGCGGAATAGGTGCCGTACAATTAACCTTATTTACAATACAGTTTCGAAACTCATTAAAAATCTTCTTATGCAGCTTCTGTAAAAATCAAATAGTTCAGTCTCTGGGATAATGCAGATGTGGATACCTCACACGGAAATGCGACCGGGGCCATTTTTGCCATAAACCTGCAGTAGGTACATGACAAACGGAAATGGTTTAGCTACATGCATTCTTGAAAGACTAGTGGCATTTCATTATTTAGCGTCTTCATAATCATTAATTGAAACCTTACGGTAACAGTTCAGCTTCGTCTATCAATCTCCCGAAGCATTAACGTACTGCTGCTCATTGGAGGACGCATTTATCATGCAAAGGCGTTATTTCAATGGACTTTTGCCCTCCTCCCCCATTTGGTGCTGTCGCTTCAGTGGCATCACTTAATCTCGGCTACTGGCATAACCATTCAGCATGTAATCTTGAAAGTGAAGAAATGTGAAACAGGTCACACTGGGCAGCGTGATGGTCTGTAACAGTATGAATCCAACGTGATCAAGTAAAATAAACATAAAAATTAACTAGCAGAAAGGGGGTCCCACAGATTTCCATTTCACTTGTTCACCTAAAACATGTGCATTCAGCATTTTGCCAAAGTCCCTGCTTTCACAATAACCTCTAATCACTTTACCCAAAATTTACCTCATCTGCTACGTTTTTGTTTACCCAAAGTACAATGGTGTGTATTACTCTAGTAAACGCAAAACAGGAAATAATGTGAGCCTTGATATCTCCGAGAAATTTTAGAACAAACTTTTAAACACGATAGCAGACAATAAAAAAGGACTTTTCGAACCATGGTGATTGATTTGACCGAGATTATTTTTCTGTGAAGGCTTAGATTTTACGACGAATGGTAGAGGTGAGGCATCTACTTTACTTTAAGAATGCAGAACTGTGTCACTTATTTCATTAAAATGCAATTTTTCTTGCTGGATTTGGGGCGAAATTTTATCGAACAAATCTGTTATAGCCGGTTAACTTGAGAGCATAGAGCCAGAAGAGTGGAAGCAAGGGTGTGTATGAGAGAAACCCATAAATTAACTCATCAATTTGAAGAGAAAGGACGGATGGAAGGAAGAAAGGGAGGAGGAATTGAGGGGATGGGGGAGGAGAGGAAGGGAGGGAATTTTCGTGTTGGCTAAAAAGTAAAAAAAAAAAAGACGACGAGCTATCTTTCAGCCAAGTGATCACGTGATGGCGAGTATAGCTCGTCCAAGAAGGGATGTGGGAAGTAACGCAGCGCTTTGCGCATCCTTCATCAACGCCTTCACTCCACATTCTTTTATGCCTCAGCAATAAGGAAGTCGTCATCCTTCAGAAATGGGGTAAGAAAACACCACCATCAAGGCATTTGTGAACTTATTTACCGTTAACTTTACTTCACTTGGTGTAGTAAAAAAACTATCGCAGTAGTGAAATCGCAATTTCCTTCAGGGAACTCAGGATTTCAGATGCTATCCGCACTTGTATCTTTATTAATATGTGACTAGTTTAAGTGGATTGTAAATGGTGGCCATACTTGCAACCTTTCTTGGGTAAGAATGCGGAAGAATAAGGCAAATAAAAGTCGGTTTTGAAAGTGAATTTGACCGACGCCCCTAAAAACTGACTAAGACTGCGAATTTGAGCTAAACTTAATGCAGGACATTTTGACTTACCCGAACTTTAATAACTGCCTTTAAAAAGAGCTGAAAATGTCTGCAAACGACTTTTTGCTTTCTTTTTTGCCGAAAACCGTAGTCTGGTGCCTCCAAACCTCCCTGAGGACGAAAGAAGGCATAACACTAGGGCAGAATGTATATTCGACTTACAGAATGTTTTAGGAATACTGGCATGGCCCGAAGGCCAGACCGCCAGATGAAGATGCAATAGCCAAGGCACGAAGTGGCCCTTTACCAAAACCGAGCGCTGAACAAACAACCAATATATTACAGTGGCATCAAAGAACTTGACTGCTTCGTGGTATTAAAGTGTTCTAAAATAAGTACTTTGGTTGTGTGCCAATTATTTGTCCTATGGGCTTCTATAAACTCCTTTCATTGGATGGTAATAGACTTTTAAACCAAATCATTAATTTGGTATCAGTTGTAGAGTACATTAGAAAAGAGCTATTGGAGTTTAACCAAAGACACGCTCTTTTTAATTCTCTAGTGGACGTGGCGTTTATTCTTGACTAAAATGTCATAAGGTGCTTCAGGCAGCCAATAAGTGGCCTTGTAGTCTATCTGAAAGCTGTTGCCTATCCAAAGACCAAACAAATGTTTAGGATAGCTGTTCTGTTACCATTTCGAATCATACTCCTTTCAGAACTTAAATGAGTATTAAAAATGCAATCCCTTTTGCATAATTCCATGAGGGTGGTCCCACATGGTACAAATTAATGATGGCTGCATCAGAATGAAAAATAAAGTTGAGTTCACCAGGGCAACGTTGGCATCTAAACTACTTTCGTAAAAGTACTCGAGCTGCGCAAAGTGCCATGAGCTCGTGGTTGAAAAGTATACCAAATTCATATAGCGTGAATGAAACCATCCATTGGACGTGTTAAACATTGGTTGATTCACGTCTGCTTGTGCATGATAATGAGCTATCACAAAGTCGTGGCAATGAAGAAAAGCGGAAAAGGAATGCTTGAACTATCAATTTTTGGATTCTCATTGTCAGACCATCAAGACCACCGTGTAAAGACACGTCGCGTGTCGAGATGATGCGCATTTTAAACCCTTGATCTTACGAATGGTCCTGTAGGGTAAAATTCCATTTAATAACACGTGCTAAAGGCATATGGACAAAATACTATTTGTTTGTTTTCGTTTATATGAAATCCAAGCATTGTATCGGCTCGATATAGACGAATTTAAGTGTAACAAAAGGTGGAGATTAATCTTTAAAAGCTGAATCATTTTAAAAGAAGCAGGTCCTTTTAAGACCCAATGTGGCAGAATAGATAATCAGTTACAGGAAATGGCTTTAATTTATTTCCATGACATGCTTTTTGATTAGCTTTCCAAAATGAAGCGCTTCAACTCTGGTAACTCTCTGTTAAAATTAGCCAATCCTGTCACAGTAAAGTGCGCAATTTATCTCTAACTTCAAACATGGCTTAAAAGATTGTGGTCTCCGTGAAATGAGCGGGCGGAATTCTTATCTCGCAATAGTGCGTTTAGCGCCCTGGTGTAATTCAACGGGTTTGTCTCATGACAAAAATTTTTACAGCCGTACTTCATTTTACATCCAGCGCGAAAAGCGAGTTGGTTGGCAAAGTGCACTGCAAAAGTAACTGAAGCGCAAAAGTACATTAAAGGAAGGCAATTGAATCATGTAACAGTCAAGAAGTTTTACCGTTCAAATTAGAAACTCCTGCCAATGCAGGTACAAATGCTCCAAATTAAAATAATTCAAAGTACTTATAACCTACTCAATATAATTCGATAGTGGTCAATTTATGCGACTACATAACTGATATAAATTGAAAGACATTTTAGGCTATGCACACTGCCTCACGCACTGGCAGGTCCCCGTTGATTATGCAAACAAAAAAAGGCAACAAGTGCATGCCTAGAATCTCAAGCAGTAGGTGCTGTTCTGTTTTACTATTTGTCTGTTCTAAGTGGATCAATCTTCATTTGATTGTCGACATCGGTTGGAGATTCCTTTTTCCCTCTATTATTACAAATTGGTGCATGTACATTTTAAGCATGTTTCTGAAATAATTTTGTCATCCTATGGTCAATGTGTCTTTTTGGATGCGAAACGCTACCTTCAGTACCGAAAAACTGAACCCCTTTCACGTTCCGAGAATTGTTCCTTCTCGGAGTTAAGCAGTCGTCTACTTCAGTAACGATGAACAACTGAAAAAAGTAATTCCTTGAATACCCACAGAATCACTATATTCGATCGAAATTCCAGTTTCGCATACATACACATATATATATATATGTGTATGTATGCATGAATATATGAACAATGTAGTTCACAAATATTTAGGCGCCGATTCAGCATACACATACACGCGATCTGCTTTTGTGTCTTGTATTTGGGTCGATTGGCTGCCTTTTATGTGACATCCATATCTGCGGTTCAATGCTGGATCCGTCGCTTGTCTGGCATCCGGCATTTAGACTGGACTTAGTAAAGGGTGACTTTTATACGCCTCATTTCTACGCCTTTCGCTCATTATGGCGACTTGAGTCAGTGCCATATTACTACGTAAAATTCAACACAAATTCTTGCCTAAAGAATTGAAGGAATCAGTAAATTAAATAGCATACCGGAAAAAATTGTCCAAATATTTAGTTTTGGGTTTGAAAAAAGGTAAAATTAATAGAAAGTCCGTTTCAGAGAACATGGCAAAATATGGAGCTCCTAGCTTTAGCCGAGGTCTAAACGCTTCAATAAGATAACGTTTGCATCGAAATGAAGTCAAATTCAAATGATAATCATGTATGTTTTAGCTTGGATTAAGACCGAGCATTTGATTTTGTTAAAATTTCGCCTGTTGCATGCATTCCACCACATGTATGGTATTCCGAAAGCAATTAATCCCGAATTAAATAAACGAAATCAATTTAGTTTTGAGTTACAGACTGTAACATTGAATACTGGCTTCCTGCTTGATTATTTCTTCTCCATCCTAGGCTACTAATGCAGTAATTTGAAGTGATAAACCAACAACCATAAGCGTAACACGACTCATGTTCCACCTAGGAAGATGGTTTTAAAAGGTCTTTGATCAGATAAATTGTATCACACTAGAGAGAACTGGTAGTGCACAACTCGGCATTCCAGGCAAGACTATAAAACAGCTGTGGTCTTAATAAATATTAAAAGGGTCGCACGCAATGCCTAGGCCATTCAATCCGTCTTTAGGTTGTAGAGTTGGAGAGGGTAAAGGGTAGTGTGTGTTTGATACGTTAAAAATGTCGTCCCACTATTTTAAGTGGGGATTTTTATAAGAGGAGGGACGGAAAAGGAAAGATGATAGATTCTACGTTTCCGTTGTACGGCAACTTGAACGTTTAAAATATTGCAAGTAAATTGGTCGAACCAGGCTTCCAGTGACATTAACATTTTTAAGTGGTGTAAGATCAACGAATATCCAGGCGTAAAGCTATAGACACGTATTAATATTGTTGGTGTAAACTACGAATAAATAGATGTTAACTTTAAATCCTCAGGAAAAACAAATTCGCTACTTGATTGCTTGTAAGTTTCGACCTCGATATCCTTAAGTCTGAAGCATAGTGGTTGCATCAAGACAACACTGCGATTTTAGACTGATGTGTTAATCCATGGTAAACATAAAGGATTTCTTGTTGGGAATTTTTCTCGGCTCGCATTCAAACCTTTCCAATTTAAAAAACAGAAAACAATTTACGATATATTGATATTAATTTTGTCAAACTCCTCTCTTTGGGAAGATGCAATGTGGGATTTAGCCTCAGACATGAGCCATTTGGCCTTCCATACAAGACAAATCCGTAATTTTACTCGTTAGCCAATGTTAGTGTAGCTGACAAGTCGGATAGCTGAATGAATTGGCACCTGCCCCTGGAGTGCAAGTGAATGCACGCCACCCATGGCGGAGTCTACTTGGCGCTCGGTCTGAGCGTCAGTGGTAAGTCTAGTCTAGAGTCATTAGGCTCTCACTCCCGATCTGCCCTGATCTGACTACAACAGCTTGCCTACTGTAGCGCGTGACCACAAGTATCTTCTGCCAACTTAACGCCTGATTTGTCCACATTGACGACCAATCCTACTAGGTGATGTGTGCCTTGATGTACAACGTCCCATCTACCTAAATGAGCTGTTCCGTACTCCTGTTACATGGCTATTAACAATACAACAAGTAAATGCTTCCACTCAGTCACTCATCGTGCTTGCTGCCATATTAACACAATAGGTAATGTCTGTTTTTTAGACTAGTCTCCTTAATTATCACTGTATAGCTGTTGTACGACACTACTAGCATAGCCTCCAACCACTGCATTGAAAGAAACGTGTGAGGTTTGATTGATTAAGGAGGTGCTAAAAGTAACAAATTGATGCTTTCTTTGTTAACTCCTTAACTAGAATAGGATGAACACAAGGAGATCGTTAATGTTAGTCAGCATGACCTTCAAATAAAGAAAAAAGCTGACCATTACAATGCAATTGAGTCAAAATTGCCACTTATATGCCAATGATTCCTCCTGCTTCACCATCCCTGTACTGTTCAAATTTGACGATTCTGTCGATTTCCACAATATGATAAATTCTATTGCCAATTTGAAGAAAAGAACTAGCTAAAATTGCACTTTAGTAAACAGCCCCCGGAAACCGGTATGGGTCTTCGAAGCTCTTAAAAGAAGCTGTAAACTTAAATGGTACTGCATATTGCTTGAATGAAGGAGTAACGCATTACCACAAAGAGGTTCATGTTGGAACTGCTAAAGCTGTTGATCATGTTAAGTGCACAACCATCGACAAAGCACTATATCAAGACTGGAGTTGAGGTAAATATTACTTAAAAGTTGGGTCAACCGCGTGGCATTTAGTGGTATTTTACTGAACCTTATTTTCGTACGAACTGCGTTTGCACCAAAGGCCCTTGGAAAAGAACAATAAATCTGAACAAAAATTTTCATTAACGGGAAATCCAATCCACCAGACTATTGCATTGCACACTGGCTTGCCAATCTACGTCGTGCGAAATATGATGAAAACGGTCATGCTTAGTTTCTTGAAATTGGTTTTGTCTACTGTGATCAGAATGCTACAAAGCATCACACGTACAAATGCGGCTGTGGAATTTTATGGGCGGTGTGCTTTGGCTTTATTCAAGCAAAACTCTACTTTGTGATTCGCCCGAAAACGCATTCCTAGGACATAAGTACATAATGTCATCTGCGTGCAAACTAGTCCAAAGCAGAAACAAACATCTCAATGCACTTCCCGAATGGATCTTTTGGTGCTGATGCGTTCATGTAAAGACGAGTGACGGCCTCTCTCAAAAGCTGTTTATCACCATCTCGTGCACTGCATGTGTCACGATAAAAAAAATGGAAATTTTCATTCTATCAAAGTGCATTTGACAGCCTGGCATTTTTCATTGCAATGTTTCGCACCAATGTCCTAGAAAAAGGCGGAATGTTTTTATCAACCGCTTTATTTTCACACGGTAGACATTTCTCTGGTAACAGAGGATGCATGTCCAAAATATAAATAGGCTTTTATATCTACAGGTCATATTTGTGGACTAAATGCATCTTTGTTTGTATCACCGCCGATTGAGATCCATTCGCAAAATCCTAAGGAAAGCTTGTTTAAACTGAGCATTGGCTAAAGCATAGCAGAAGGGATTAATGGGAGAGTTCATGTAACACATCCAGTAGGTAACACTATAGAGATGATGGTTAACGCAGGTGTAAGTGGTTTGAGGGTCATCACAAAAACCCTTGATTAGAATAACAATATGGTAGGGCGTCCAGCAAAGTACGAAAGCCCCAAGGATCAAAGAGATGGTCTTGAGCGCTTTTCTTGCTCTATTCGCCGTTCGTCCGCGCTCCAATGGGGCTTGCCTAGTGACGCTTACATTTGTATCATGAACACGCTGGAAATAACTATTAAGAACGTTTTTCTTTCCAACCCGTAGAGGCTTTTTGGACATGCCTATTGTACGGCTGTCTGTAGTGTCATTTCCCGAGTTTCGACTATTATCTGAGGCTCTTCGGCGTTTAATTTCATGACTGAGTTTGTGGTCTTTTTCCATTTGGACTTGATTTTCAGTCTGCATCATAAGCCTATCTTGCCATATTTGAGCCACTCGCACTGCCGTTGCTTTGGAAACTCTTCGTGTTGTCATATTAATGGGCGAGGGAAGCATATCGATAAGCGGACACAGTTGAGATACATTTCCATCATCCTGCTGTCTATCAGCCTTGACATTCTGATCTGAATTGGAATTGCGCTTATTATCTTGAATGGATCGACATTCATAATTCGGCGTAGCACATTTAAAGTCATCTAACGTCTTGTTGTAGTCTTGATCCTTTTTAAATACTGAGGGAGGACCACAGGAACTGCCATTGAAAGAGTTATGAGCGAACTCCTGTGAATACGCAAAACTGAGCTTCAAGCTGCTTCCATCACTTCTACTACTGCAGGATGTCTCCAGATCGGAGAAGACATGAACTGCAGGTGACGATGGGAAACTGTAATAATTTTTCTCAAGAATTTTTGTTGTGTCGCTAATTTCTGGATCACTCAAATGTGGCGATCGAATATCGACAAATACAGTTTCTGCTATGGAAGTTGGAGATGCCTTCGGCGAATAACTGCCAACAGGATAAGATGATGGATCAAAAAAGCAGTTGTTCGCATAAACAGAATTTATTCCCGCATTTGGGGGTAGGCTTGGGTTATCCATTGCTGGTGGATTGTGGTGTGGAGTAACAGGGCCACAGTAGGGCATCGCATCCTCTTTTGTGGTGTCTACCTTAAAAGTAGTCGATGTATGTACTAGTTGCGTTGAATGATTTTGGGCATTTGTTCCGGAGTCAAACTCGCCCGAAGTGACTCGAGCACCAGTCTCATTACTGCTTGCCAAGTGGTATGATTCCCCAAACTCCATTTCAGTCTCATTGACCGTTGATCCACCACTTTTGCAAGAAATATTTTGGCTTGGCATGGTTAACAAGTTTTTAACTTTTGCCATTTTCTTTTCCGACTTCTTTTGCAGGCGCAATGCAACCATATATATTCCGATGTAGAGGCCAGTCATGACCGAGAGTGTTATCCAAAAGTAGGCGATTGTTAAAATTGTGTTGAACATTGGATTGCTTGAGAATTCTGCATAACAGGTTCCACTCTTCCTAACATGGTTGTGCTTGCTAAAATAAGGCCATCCAAGAATAGTTGTAAAAAATATTGTTGAAGGAAGTATCCAGGTAATTGCAATCATGGCCAGAACTTTGTTCCCACTTCGCCAATTACGATATTTGGCGGGTATTTTGACAGAAAAGAACCTATCCAGAGTGATAAATAAGACGGTGTACTGACTGGTTAGGCAAAGAGTATAATCGAGCCCCAGCCAGAGGTCACACAGCAAACGGCCCAAAGGCCAGTATCCCAAAAGTAGGTAAAGGCTGTATAGATTCATTGAGAATATTCCAATCAAAACATCCGTGACAGCCAAGGAAGCTATGAAGTAATTTGTCGGCATTCTTAATGTCCTTTCAACATAGAACGCGGCTAGCACCAGAATATTTCCCCCGATGGTTATGCTTGACGCCACGATTGTCAGGACTACGATTACACCAACTGAAACCTTCCCATATGGCGGCTCTTTTGAAGACCCATTTTTATTCGTTTGAGGAACACTGGAAAGAATATAGATTTCTGGAATGCTCGTAGTTGTTTCAAATCCTGGTGTGTTAAATAGAGATTCGATAACCTTTCCATGCTGCTCCCGTTCTGTTTCCCGATATCGAAGAAGGAGATCTGACGCATTCGAAATCTGATAAAAAATTCCATTTTCTTGCGGCTCAATGGAAGTGATTTTGATGTTCGATGGCAACGTAGTCGAAACAGTTGCCCCTCGCTCCTTGATCCAATTTAGATAAGCGATAGAAATATCAGACGGAATCCATTCTTCAGATTTGTGCTCGGGTGCCGAGATTCCTTGGTTAGGAGTCCCCAATACAGTGTGTAACAGAACAATCAATGCGCCAAAAGCCTCGGTGGAATGCATGTGTTCATTTGATTTCGCACCGTAAAACTATAACTGAGATTGATTAAGACCTTTTTAAGTTCACAGTTTACATTTTATGTGATCACTGCTACTTTCAACCTTGCAATTTGCTATACCTTAATTCCCTTCATTTTACGTGGAATATGTATACAGAAATTATATTGCAAACTCTAAACAAACATTTATTTGTAAGTTTATGATAATTAGACAATTTTTGGAAATTGTTTTTGCTATGATGGAGTTTGAGGTTTGACTTTAATGCCAGTTGAGCCTCCACTACTGCGTTGAGTGAGTGATTTCCCTCGAGTAATTATGGCATCACGCATTATAGTGGATTCCTATATGGTAAAATTTATTGCATGAAGGTATTACTGGTACAGACTTGGAACGGGCCAAATTTATTGTCAGACGTTTAAAAGTATAGTGAAGGTTGTTTAGCACGCCTCACTGCTCTTAAAATGGTTTAATCAAATCAGGATTTAAATATCCTTCCTGATTCTACTTTGTGATGAAGCCTCTAGTGTGTGACAGGGCGGCCACCAAGATTAGCATGCCTCCTCTGAATGATTAACAGACATCTGCGAAAGAGAGCTATTAATAACGGGGAAATTAGTCATAATAAACTTCCAATTTCTACTACGTGATCTCAAGTGACACCTTCCTATTCCTATTTTGCCTGAAAGCACTGTGACGTGCACATAAATTATTCGCTAAGCAAATCGGAGTGGCCTGATGATGTGAATCACAAAATGGATTAATATTTGCAACGAAGTAACGGGTAAGCAGCCACCTCGCTTTTTCCGAAATCTGTTTTAATAAAACCACTGCAGATTTCCATTGCCATGCCCTCGGAAAACTTCATTCGATAACACGCAGAAGAAGATGCTTAATTTGTTTATAAATAACCATGATTTTACTCTGGAAAGTTGAAAATGAGATACAAAATTCTCTAATACTAAGTTTTGATCAAAGAGTTCGAAGAATAGCAAAGAATTCGGCGAGAATAATGTTTAAATATGCATTTTAGGAATGAACCGTTGAAGAGCCAATCTTCGGAAGTATTTGTGGTCTGTGGTCTAGCGCGACCAGTGAGCGAATGAATAATCCTACGCCGATTTACTTCATGACCTCTCTCTCCTCGAGTTTTCTGCGGACAAATCGAAGCCTATATGATGTAGTATCAACAATTTCAGTGCCTCGAGGTCAAATATCAATCTCCCATGAGTTATTCAAATTTACAAAATATTGACACCTTCAATTGAATTAAAATTTACGAGCAGTTTTGAACCATGCTATATCGACCTTTCTTCAAGTGCGCATAATCTGAATTTTTGGAAAGATTCTGCAGCTCTGTATTTTTCGGGATCTCAAACAACGAACGCGACTCTATGAGCCACTTCAAAATCCAATTAGTCTTGTCGCCACTACTTACATAGTCGTTATCATTCACAGAGCTCGGTGAAGCGCCTTCACATCTACCTCCACTTGCCTTCCTTTCTGGCATTGGGCGACATTTCATAAGCGTCAAAAGACACTTCTAACCGACTAAAGCAGCAGTTAGCTGAGGCTTAAATCGCTCAATGTTACATGCACTGTAGTCGTGTTTTGACCCAGTGCCAATCCTAACACCCGAAGTAACAACTTTTTAAGATAAAGTAGCCATGTGACAGTAAGTGGCTGGCTGGGCTCCATTTGGGCTGCAGAACCTTATCGATCGAATGATAAAAAATTAGGTTTGGCATTAAAATATTACATGAATTATGTACGTAAAGCACCATTTCTGATCTATAAAAATGCACAGTTCTACGTACTCCTCCAACACAGTTTCTTGAAGTTATGAAATTAGCCAATTGTAAGTTGACAGGAATGCCTCAAGATTTTTCAAAACTGTAAGTGATTTGGATTATCGGCATTGTCCCCCTCTCTCACATCTCAGGCGTCTAAATATTACGAAGTGTCAGTGCTTTTTGCGTTTAACATAACTATGCACAATCGTGAACAAATAATAATACAACTTGGTGGTATCGTTAGCCCGCAAGTCATCAACGCATAATCTGATGTGAGCATACTGCGCAAAACAGTTGGCGGGAGATTCTGAAGCTTACCTCAGATTTGCAATACGTTTGTTACCAAATTAGCTAGGTATTTAGTTATCAACATGGTTTTTAAAGTTACCATGGCAGCCACAGTTCTATGCACTTATATGAATGAAGAGTTTTGCCAAACTTTTGTTTACACTTTACTATAGCAGTCTTCCATCGTTTTCGCCACTTTATCAGGCCAATGCAAAAAGGAATGCAAGATTTTGCATTTATTCATCACAAAGTAGACCTCGTAAAGACTGCTTTTTTGTTTTCTCCGAACTTTAACTTCAAATGTATATATATATAGTTATACAAATATGATAAACTAATTCAACCACCTTCGGATGTTGCGCACTTTCTTGTTAGTTGAGGATAATAGAGTAAGCCGTCAACAGTATAGCATGAGTTAATTGCTGATAAGTAGCAGTTTAAAACTCCGGCTCTACTGGTTAGAATTCTGAATAATTCCTCCATTTTCGGCCCGTGTCTTGAAAGTTATACGTATGGATTTTTCGATTATATTTAAATGCATGTGAGCAAATGTTTTTCTATTTCTTTGGTCAATAAATATGTAGTTTGTATCAAATGATAATTATATTTCCATTTTATAGTTTCTAGTAAAGTTGCTTATAAATTCTTCCGTATAATGGCCCTTGTGCATATACTTGCACATACTGGTGATATTAATTGGAAAGCGTCACTTTCGTTCTGAAATTTTAAGTATTATAGGAAGTATAGCTTCTGATACTTCAGACGTTTACACGTTCTAAAAACTGACCGATTAAGCACCCAACTTTAGATGTCAATGCCCGTGTTGAGGTGAGTACTTGACAAACTCCTTTACACTCTTCTTACTCTCGGTATCTGGATGTTTATACGCGCTATTAGGTGCTGTTAAAATATGCACTAATAATTAACCTAACCAAGGGTTATGAGCCTGTAATTTAGTGAAATGCTCGTAAATAAAATATGCAAAAAATGCGACTGATTTTTGACATGCTATTGGTTTGTTACAACCATCTGTGCACATTATTATATTTGCTGGCAAATTTCACTTTCGAGCACAAGTTAACATCCATCTAAATCACCATATTTTGCTCATCACTCAAAAAAATATTTGAGTTCAAGGTTTAAGTATGATTTTCATTTTCAGGGTTACGATTAAATTTGTCGACTGCCCTGCTTCTATTAAAAAGCTGGTTGATCTACAGCATTCTAAATAGGGTTTCTGCGCCTAGCACATTTTGACACGAAACAGCTGTTAGAACGTCCAAACCGACCGCTGAAAAATTTTCGTCAAATGTGTGTTGGGAGCAACTGTTAAACCAGATGTTAATAGCATTTTTCCTAGTCTAACGCAAACAAAATCATGTTTTTTTTAAATGTACAAAGTTTAAGCTGACTGCCACTTCTTAAAGTGGTTTTGCTAGCACTTTACTTCAACTTACCTATTGGTAAGGCAATTCGAACGTGTTAATTATACTACCTTTGTTTTACATAAAAGTGACCTTACAGTGCAGAACAAAAATGTGCCTTTCTAGTCACGAAAATTTGAACTCTAACCAAAACTATTTACAAACAAAAAATGCAAATAAAATTATGTGTGGTCTATCCCCTATACCTCCTGAGACAGTTAAGTGATGAATTTAAAGGCGTTTCAAAAAAACAAATACATTATTCCTTACCTACACTAGAGCTTTGTCAGCCAGGATAAATGCAATAGATTATCCATTGGAATGTAAAAATTATCCACTGTTGCCGGTCCCCTCCATATTCCACAGATGAGAGAAATCGACCCTGCGGGCTGTCAGTGGAGCGACTAGTTTAATGGGGAGGCTGCGATTGCCCTCTCAGCAGACCGGCGTTAATACGCACTGGGGATGTCTTGAGCTCGACTGGTCACACCATTCCCATTGTCTTACCCGTCGCCGATTGGACCATTGCACGTGCGTATTTTGGTCGAGGAGCACGTGCGCACCTACCGTGATGTTGCATGCAGTGTGAAAGGTTGCAACGGAGAGCCAATGCTTCGCGATTTACAACGACTTCATCGAGGCTCGCCCTCTCACTGCATAACACTTGCATAGTCTTATAATACCAGCTGCCATGTACCATTCTCCTATCAACGACTAACCACAAGCTGGATTACTTCGCCTTCATATGCCAGTAGTAATTTATACTTAATCAGAACCTTGCAAAAGGAGCATTTCATTTCCCTGAAATTCTCTTCAAAACAGAGAAGGAGACTTTAAAAAATGGATACTGGCAGAAGAATTTTTACAAAAGTTGTGCTCTACGTGTGCCCGTTCAAGAGCTGGACAACTTCTTTTGATTGGACACCCACCCACTAGTTGTGCCCTCAACCAGGTATTCATAACTTCCATCAACAGAAAAAAGACAGACCTGCATAATTTATGTGGAATGCAGTTCGGCATGGGAAATTAATGGGATAGGTAAATTGATAATATATTTGCGCATGAACGATTGCGGTAATGACCCCGTGTTAAGTAAGAAGTGTGTACATTTCTGCCACTGTCAAAACTAGACATTTTGCTGCTTTATAGCGAATAATCCTTTAAAGTGATCTGTTCATTCTACGCCCAGTAAGTAATAAATTAAAAACCGGTTCGCTAAGGATCTGTTTATTACTGTGACAGAAAGTTCTCTACGGTACTTATTGACCCTCAATTAGCCTTTATGGAAGACTTAATTTCATGATGTCAAGGAACTCAAGCAATCCTTGGAGCGAGAACGTTCACTAGTGTATAACCGCAATAAAAACCATTTAAGGTATACAATATTGTCGTGCTCTTTCAAAAGCGCATTAATATAACAAACAAGTAATTTTATCAAATACTTTAAAGGCTACTTTTTTAGCCCACAAATTATTGCTGATGTTCTGGATTGAATAAGAGGTATTGCTTTTACGGCATTTTCACTGATGATCTGAAACAAGTTTGAAGTAAGACTGTATGTTGAACTCTCTAAGCTTAAATTTGGATTTCTCCGCCTAATGGTAAGGGAGAAAAAATGCCTCAGTCACACATCTAACTAATGTCCACTGATTTAAATTTACCCTCATATTCCTTTGAACGTCAGTCTGCTGTAGCAAATTTTTCAGGCGATTGCGAATGTGGCTCGTACGTTAGACCAAATTACGACCAAATTTTGTCAATAACATTGAACTTTTTAGTTTCCATCACAATTTTGACATCCGCGTGACCCGCGTATTTTATTATTTGTACACATAATAGGTCCGCTTTAATGGATTTGTACAAGTGTGTGGTAAATTTCAGCTTACTAAATTCAAAGCCCATCTAATGTAGGTAAAAGGGAAATCCCAATTTAACTCTCATCAACTGACTCAGTAAAACGTGTACACATCATTTCCTTGAATACTTTTACTCAGTTTGCTGTTCCCTTCAAATTGATTTCCCTCACAAGAAATATTTTTGTCGCATTTAGACTTTTCTAGGTATTTACTTTTGCATAACTTGCTTTTACTGTAATTAGATTTCAGCGAATCAGCCCAGTTTTCCGGGATTAGCTCCTAAACGCAATGCTTCCAATTTCATGTAAAAAACGTTCTCCCATCTCTCAAAACAGCCCCAATCTTATTGGACCATCTTACTCGGGGGGAATCAAAAGTGATGAAGTCATCATCCACACTTTATTTCCAAGCTGTAGTTTATCGATGTGTCGAGGAAATATTTTCTACTCTTATTCTGATTCAAAAAGCTGTGCAGTATTTGCTACTTCCATTTTTGGTGACAAATTTCCCAATCCAGAATTGTTTTCTTTATGCACCTTTGAAGAAGTAGGCGCACTTAGAAGCAAGTTTTACAAGCTGACGCGCCGCATTTATGAGATCCAGCCTATATAACAGAAAGCGGAGCACACCAGTTCGGAGCCTTATTTTATAGGTAATTTCAATATTGTATTTTCAGCTTCCCCTTCACTGGTACAGGTGAAGCTGTCTACATGACATACTCCAAACTTGTACAAACGTTCGCACGACTATTTGGTTGTGTGCAATCCCATCTAACAGGTAGATTCGGATGCGAATGCTTCTAAGCTAAGAAAGCACTAGGGCAAGTGATTTGGCTGCTGACTTGGCATTTTTAAGTACACAAGGAATTCTCAATTGCAAATTTGCAGTCAACTTCACAAATATAATGCATATCCCAATTTGAAATACTTTCTTTGCATCCTTATTACAAAGTTTGGGTGCACAATGGTTAATTTTTAGCGAGGAAATGTGCACAGTAGTGAGGAATTTGACGCTTGTTTTTAATCCAGTAGTAGGGTGTCCTCAACCGACATCTAGCTTGGGCACCAGCCAGGATTGGCTGCAACTTGACTTATGTATGCCTCTTCACTTTACTCATTTTGGGTGTTTCCACTTGGCAGCATTGGATTTCCGCCCTAACTTATGTGTCAACAGTGGACAAAAGTTTCCGTACTCGCGTATTCTACATCAAATGATATTCACCGATAAATAATCCTTGCATAAAATAAGTATTATACCCATGCAAGGGAATTAAAAGATTTTATTGCCCTATTTTAGCCTGAGCTATGTGCGAACAACCGATATTCATTAACCTTACCTTCATTGAACCGTACTTAAACAATTGAGGGTGTCATATAGCATATTTAAAGGAGAATTAAACTCACCGGTTATTGAGATGACAGTGTATTCAATGTAGCATGAGTGGAACACCACCCACTATCGAGCCGCAATTTGTGTGACCACATTTCCGTGCCCTTCTTCCGCCTTACACAACACTGTTCGGATTTTTTCTGCATTTTCGGGATGATATTAGCATCACAGGCTATCATTGATAAGGCAAGGAATAGCACTTCCTTGAATTTAGCTCGTAGCATAAATATCTCCTGGGTATCTTGCGATTAAACTCACAACAGCTAAAAACTCATGCACATCCACATTACTAGCTGCATTTTAGTAATTTTCTTAGCTTCACCTATGCTCAAATTATTTTCAAATCTGGGTACAATTGAATAAAATACAACCACTTTGTGCACTTCGAAATAGTGTAGAATTCCTTTTAAGTTTATCAGCAAATTGATGTCAGAATCATAGGTCCATCGGTAATGAGAAATGGGACGACTACTAGAAACTGTATTTTGGTTTACAATTCCTGGTTATTTAAAATGCTCCTTAAGGGCATAAATCAAAAATGACAACAAATATGCACGATGGACTTTGTTCTTCCGACCGAAGTGCAGTTCTTCAATATTCTTGTTCAGTCTAATCCTTCTCCGGTTCTTAGCCGTTTGAGTCTTTCACAAATAAATAATTGCTAGGTCTCGACGATCAAAAGAAAGAAGAGTCGATTTTTCCTATTTCAAATGTTATTCACTTGTTGCAGACCGCAGGAAAATATGTTGGCTAGGGGACATTTTACACTCATCTATCAGATAAGCGGAATTGCCTTATGCAAGACAAGCTCATTTCTATGTAGTTATAACAAAACAACGGAACTCGACTCCCAGAAGTAGTCAGATGAGAGCTATTTGTTAGGTTTACTTTGCGTTAGACTTTTGAGTCCATGATAAGTGGGTGGAAATGCGAAAACAACCACCATCTGGATTATATGCTTGTGGCAAATATGGAATTTATCGTATTTTAAATCAGCACGTATAACATTAGCTACTAAAATTTTGCCCCCACAACACTATCTCCTTTTTATTTGCATTTTATTAGCTGTCCGGAATGTCAATGCAATTTCCAGAATTTCGCAAGTTACTGGAACTTGTTTTAAATTAATTAAATTACAACAATCAGGAAATTATAACACCTCATATTCAGGCTGGTACTCAGGTTCCGCCGAAAATGATCAATGATGCCTTAAATGCATAAGACGCCTTTGATTGCAGTCAAATACTGCACTAAACGTTTCCCGTTAATACAAAAACGCACACCTTTTTTGTTAAATCACGATGCTTTGAGTGGTTATTCAAATGCTCACTTATAGGTCCAATAGGCGTTCCACTTTATCTCTTCTTACTGTAATTTCTCGCCTCTAATTAGGAGGGAGCACTTAATGTTTTAACTAGGAGTTAACCATTTATGAAACTAATATCGCGGATTTGTGCATTCCGTTCGCTCATCTCCTATCTATGTTTCCATAAGGCATCAAGTTCCGTTGGTGTAAAATTAACTGGGATTTGATTGGCCTGCTGCAGGAATGAAGGCTAAATCGCGTTGGCCTCGCGCCTTTACATGTTGAGACGCCGTCAGATGTGACACCGTGTTTGATCACACTGCCATCAGATCACGCACCATCGCACCCTCTGCGGGTATGTCAGTCAAAGCTGATGCGCAATTACTTTCTGCAACCGCAAAGCTCCGCTATCTCTAACTCTATACGTTATTTTTCAGATAAGCACATTATTGTGTTGCCCTTTTTATTCAGAAGTGATAATAAATTGATTGGCAAATGTTTCTTACTCAAAATCTTACCCCAATTCCAAATGACTGTCACACCGTAGGTGGTGGTTTCCAGAGTGCTTCACCTAATATTTTCTTTAGCTTAAATGAGCTCCTCCTTCCTTCCAAATCCCATACATTTATATTAATCAATCAGACTAATGGCAGTTTCACTTTTACGATAACATCACTCCAACCAATCACAAGGTATCTGTCGTTACTTTTATTTGCACCATACTGCACTTGTGATTAAACCATGCATCTATGGGAATTCTTACAAGTTTAATTAATCTTGGGTATGCTATGTGAGGGTACTGCAAAGTTAATACGGTCGCATGTGCTTTGAAAAGCTTACTCATTAATCCAATCCTAAGTATTGACTACAGCACTCTTACCTTCATTACATTAGGTGAGATACATCTGATTCCTTCTACAAACGTAGTTTTCACTTTTCATTTGAAATACATGTTCCTCGTTTGCAACCACTTCGGTGGTTCAGAATTTTATGCGTTTTTAATAGTTCTATGTAAAATTCCAAGCATAATTTGAAACATCCAGAAAAAAGCTTGAAAAATCAAATAGTTAAGACATAGAAGCAGTGCTTGACTCTATTTCAATTGGGATTTCAGACAATCAGCTGCGTGGGATTATCAAATTGGATAAAGCTCTACGAGAATTCACAATTGGAAACACTTCACGCCTGTACGCAGTCGAAAGCGGCCACACTGTAAGCACATTGAGATTGAATACTTTAGCCTACTGAATTTGCTCTACCATGGGCTGAAGTGTGTGGTTGAGCGCACCACTTTTTGAAGAATCAGTTTATTGCGGTTCTAATAGAAACTACTGCATATACTCAAGGGTAAGCTTGTTCATATCCTTTTTTGTGAAAAAGTTCCACATAATTTAATGTTTTAGCGCCCCACAAAGAGACGATAAAAGTCTTGTCTTTCTCAAGGAGGTAGTCGTCATATCATTAGCTCAAAAGTTGTTTAAAGTATCGACCTACTTTGCGCAGATTGGGATTTAATTGCGAGTTCCACTTTTAACATATTCATGAGCACTTTCTCGGATGGTCAATCTTGTCACCTAGGCATACTCCCATCCACAAATAAAGTGGTTGCACTGCAATCCCGGAAGTCCATTGTTTTCCTTATTTACACAGGAACATTTAGATTAGATTTACATTTTTTCCTGGATTAAAATTAGCAAACCTGGTCGAGTACCAAGTATCAAGGCTAAATCACTAGAATATCAAACTAATGAGCATTTGTAATGCATGAAAAGAATGGGTAATGTTCGAATATTCGCGGTGTAAATGACATAATGCACCATGGCAGGACGACAATTCATGTCACATTTACAACACTACTGAATGGTGATCATAAGATTATATCTTTTGACACTAAAATAGAATTTCACTTGTTTGGAATTCGCATGTGGTTTTTTCGCGGCTGATTTTTTTCAGGCGGAGATTCATTAACAGTTACCAGCATCATATTCTTAAAACTAGGTCAAGTAAAGGGAACTAGATCTGAAAATGCAAGTGTCACTGCGAATACGCAAGAAATGCCGGGAAATAAGGGACGCTTTAATTGTGGGATATGTGTAACATACTCCACACAGGAACGGACTTTTCTAGCAACCCTGACGCAAAGAATACTTATGGGATTAAATCATTGTACGCCTGACTCTGTGGTGCATTTGGTCCCGGTTTCATAATTTTGCCAACGAGTGTTATAGTCAAATCAGGTTGTCTTCCATCCCCACTAGAGAGCCTTATTCCTGGATTAGGAAAGCTTACCTCCACCTTTTCGGTCTTAGGTGCCATTGAAAATTTGCCAAACTTTTATCATCCATTGTTAGTGTAGGCTAAAAGGCCTCGCTTAGGCCTAATTTATAACGGCAGGGGTTGTCGTATATGAGGCCTAATCCTTCATCAAAAAAATTCATTCTTGTACAATTTCACCTGAATAATACACAAGCCTCAGTAAACTTCGACGATCTAAACAGCTTCTGACTTTTTGTGTATGCAGATTAATTTTGATTAGTTGTTATTGAAGGTTCTAAATACTATATGTACTTACTATGGTAACATCAGAGCTGTCATTAAACAAAAAAAGGAATCTAATGTTAAACTTATTTGGTCGGCTGCATTTGGCCATGCCGTTTAATGCGAATGAACTTCCCTTTTGACTTGCACTAGGCTATCTGTCAGATATAAGATTTCTAGAAATATACGCTTCTAAAAGTTTTGTCCAAATCGAAGGATTTTAAGCCTTAAGGTATAATAATCGGAGCCAAATGATTGAATAGATCATGCGTAACATATTCATCCCAATTCTCCATTTACACTTGTACCAATTAAATGTTTGCCGTTTCATATATTCACCTAAGTCTATGAATTCGTGCCTTTAAGCACCGTCATTTTTCGATGATGTTATTCAACCCAAGTAAATCCAAAAATCAACGTGGTGATTTGACGTCCTCTTTTACTATGTGTTTAACTATGTGAGCACTTCACTCTGTGGGCTGTGCATCCGCTAGGTGTCATGGGTTTCTGATTATGCCAATGATATCTAGGTCACTACATACGCTAGCTATACATATTCTTCATGCTACCTTGGCTTATCACGAATTCAGAGAGTACTCCAAATACAGCTCCCACTATCTCTGACCTTTTTATCTGGTACAATGACAGCAACTTTTCAAGTAAAGTGCAGCAAAAGACGCTCTCAGTTTCTAATTTTAGTTCTGCATTGCAAACTGTGAATTTGCACGCAACCTAGCATAATGGTCTATTTGCCTCAATTAAACATTGAAATACTCGAAGAACCTAGAATAGTTGTCTTTTCAAGACCTTGCTACCTTTTCCAACCCCTTTTGCCTAGCCATTCAAAGCGTAATAAACCCTTCTAATTCAAAACTGTAATTATGTGTGTATTATTTTCAGTATGCGAAGGTATTCATACCCCATATAAAGGCCCCGAAAACCTGAAAATTATATTGGAATAGAAAATTGGTCCTTTGTGATTGGCTAACTTTCGCATTGCCCATTGGTAGTCTCACCCATAATATGTGTACCACACGTGTCTCTTGACTGCAGGATAGGTAGTAGTTGGCTGTTTTGGTGTGACCTAATGTGGCCACTCTTTTACAGTATCGCGTACTTTCAATTGTTTATAATCATCGGAATGTCCCTGCTAGCTGTGCATAGATGCATCCTACTTTCTGCATTTAAAATAGCTCATTACCATACCACAAAATGGCTTTTTGACAAAAGTTATATGTTTCCGGACATATTTTTTTTATATCCCAATGCTTATTTTTATGCATACCCTAGAAATCCCAATGCTTTGTTAGTATGAAATCATTCATGTGCACATTAGTGCTCTTTAAGATACAGTTGTTAGTTTGTCGCTGAATCTGGCTGCGGTTATTTAATGTCCAGTGTATATCATTCTATTTCTGTGCATTTGAGTCCTTGAATATTCAAATCTGCCAGAGCTGTGTTATACGAAGGATTCATTATGGCCCATCAATAAGCAAACATATTTGCTTCAGCCTCTGCTAGGTTATTTGCGTGGCCTGACGGTAACCGTAGAACTTGAGCATTTACTATAGAGGTAACTCATGCTGTATAAAGTACTATGCATGCTGAAACTCCATGATTTGTGGCCCTTTGAATGCACCTTTTCTGGAAGTTTTCTACACTGCTTGGAGCCATCTATTTTTGTGCTTATTTAGAGTTATCTCGACGTTCCACTGTTCAATATCACTACCCTCATTTTCCCCTTCAGATTCAATGAATTTTCATGAAGATTTCTCAAGACAGAGGTTTTTTAGGGACTTTGTTACTTTCAATAACTTCATCGGTTTTGTCGTGGCTCGCGAATATCTTGATAATGTCACGAAACTAGTGTACTCTGATGAAGAGAAAATATATAACTTCTATAAATTTCTGCTAAAACTACTCCAGGTATGGCTAAAGATAATTATCCAATTTCTAGGGTGATGACGCTTTCATAATTCCGTGCTTGACTGATCCATCATGCATGAATGAAATGCTCTCTCATTTGGTGTTGGAAAGGTTTGAAGTACTTTTCGCCTAGAGAACGGCAGAATTGAAATTCTTCGGAATATCAATTGTGTTGTGGAGTATGTTCATAGGTCTTACACTAAAAAGGCTTTCCCTCGTGATGCGGAGGAATTAGGGGATTTAAAGTCGGTGGCGTTTCACCAAGACAGTCTTGTGGGTAAGTAGTGTCTGCTTACACAACCCCTGTTTAGGACAATTTCTACGGAAATTCGCTGTCGGTTTTCATCTGCAGTCATTTGAACAAGTCACCAAGTTTTGCAATTCATTTTATGCTTACTATGATTCGGTGACAACGCAAGAAAAATTGCCTAGTGTAAACTTGTTTTGGCATTTGAGGTGGGTGGCTTGTTTAACCCCATCCCTTTAGTTCCAGCCAAGTTGTAACTTTTTCCAAAGAAATAATAGCTAGAGCTGGTCGATTAGGTTCTCTAAGTTCCTCGGAATTCGATTTACTTGTGAAAAAATTGCAAAGTTATCAAGAAAATTATCCGGATCTGGCCACACCGGTAAGATTTCCTTCTGAGCATTTCGTTTCTGGTTTTGCCCAACATTCGAATGGGTATAAACTAACGCAGTTCTAACGCCTCCGAAAAGACTTCGTGTATGATATTTTAAAGGCCAGCTGGTTGTCTTGCACTGTAACTGCAAAACTGAACTGCTTTTTATTTTTCATCTTCACAAGTGCTAGCCTATAGTGTGGGTTTACACCCAAGGGTAATAGTAATTGAATACGCAATTACCATCGTTACTGACGGAATTTTGTTTGGCCGCTCTAATTAACTGGCAAATCTCGTCGTTGATTCGTGCAATGATTTGCTTTGTATTTAGCGTTTCGCTTCTCACGCGGTCGCTATGCGACAGCGCAACCTATCACAGGCTGAGACGAACCTCTTCAAGGCCTTTGAGATGGCCGTCTCCTGGCCACCGGCGGATACCTCATCGGCAGTTGCTCCTGAACCAAGGCCTGTTGATGCCTGGACGCGCATGACACTGGGGGCCGCTGATATGCATCATAGGTTTGGTCACAGGTGGGCGGAATGCTCGCTTCTATCGTATTACTTTAATCAAGTAGTTGCCCTATACGCGCTCATTTTGTAGCCTACAGGCTCGCTCTTTCCTACACCAAGCACTCGCTCAGGCCCTCGAAACGAATGATGTGTTGAGTCTGCGTCACGTCAAGGTCAGCTATTCGTCGTCTCTTCCCTTTTACTTTACGAAATTTATGAAATTTTATTTTCACTGGTGGATAGGCTTTGATCCTTAGTCTATGCATATCCAACGTATCGGATTTTGACTAGAAACACTTACTAGCGTGGCTCGACTTATGGGCACTATTGTAATGCACATCTTTTGACTTGTCAATTTCATTGTTTAACACTTTTTCAGGCGGCTCATGACGTGATAAATCCGATGGGGGAGCCCTTTCGGTATGAAACAGCTGAACAGACTGATGGATTATTGCCTTCGGTAACGTATTTTGGTGAATGGTTTTGTTGTACTTTCTCGAAGATAGACCGTGCATATTCTTTAAGCAGTAGGGAGACATCGTATCCTTAGAATTTTTCGACAATTTGTGCTTGGTAAATCTCATTGGCCTTTATTTCTACAAGTTTCAATCCCCAGTACCATGATTTTTCATCGACTTCATACAAAAATTGCCTTGACCTTCAATTAGATGTGCCTATGTCTAAACTTAATTACCCATTTATTGATACGGCTGCAAGCCCTAAAGCATAGCAAGAATAGTGGATCCTCCCATGGTTTTCTGGCATGGTAATTATCACTGGTATTCGCATGTACCCGAAAGCGATGTATTTGACAAACATTTTGCTCATAAGCCTTATTGATATTTGGTTGTTTAATTGTCCCCGTATTTGGCAACGTGCTCAGCTTTTGAGATTTTATAATGCATCCTGCCCCTCTTCGTGCAGCGGTCGCAGCTCTGTGTTTCGAGAGGACAGTGGTAAGGAAAAAGCTCGAATGTCCAATATGCACCCAACGGTTTCGCTCTTGGAAGTACTTTACTAAAAAGATGAAACCGATAAAGGATGGTTACTACTATGAATAGATTTCAAATAGAGTACCTTTATTAGGTTTTCTCTTCCTGAACCACTTTTTAGGGACATGTACTATACTTGGTTGGAAACGGCGATTATTTTTGCGAGTTTAACATCGTGATAAGAAATCTTGGAAATAAAGAAAAGTTTGGATTTTCTTATAGATATAATAGAGTTCAGTAAGTTTGTTACATTTGAGCTCAAATTTAAAGCTACCTCATTATTATAGGACCTCCTGCTCACCGAGTTGTGTTGTAAACTGTTCAAACTTATCGGAACGAGTATAATTCCACAAAAGTAAGTGGCTTCTGCTTGTTTATCCGGCTTACAGACCTCTTCATCTTTTGCACTGTTGGTAATTTAACATTTTTAACATTTTTAAATCGTGTATGTATGTGTTCTCAATAGGGTGTTGCTGACTTACTTCAATTCAGTAGTGGCTCCTCAGTCGGATGCATTAGCGATTGTCCTCTTAACTTTGGCCTCCATCTTCTCCGTCTATGGCTACAGGCAAGTCTTTTCACTGTCTTTTAACAAAGTTTATCGTTGTAAATGCTGTAATATTGTCTGGAATCATGGGTGTTTGTGTCACAACCAAGGCAATAGCTTCATTTTTCTGTCTATGAATATTTCCCCATAAATGTAGAGCATTATTTATTCCTCCAGCATTTTGGGCACTGCTCTGCTGCAATGTGTCATTATAATAGACTGCTTGTCTCCTTGCTCCATCTCGGACTCAGTTCTTTCGACGTCGATTTCCCAGCTTGCTAGGGCGCTGGCCGCAGCTGTGAGTTTACTTATCTTTCTACTGATTTAGCTAAACCATTTCAGCCTTTTCCATTGGGACTGCTGTGTTGGTGTCTATTTGCAAATTACCCCTGCCTAGATAAAATTTAATCTCTGCGTCCTAGCGTAAACAAATTTCCTCACCTGTCAGTTGTTTGTGCTGTTTCAAAAACTGGCCCACTGAATCTTATAGGGCTTGCCTAATCAAGCAGTGCAGATAATCAAATCGGCCACCGAGACTATTGGCCGATTTGAGGAGTTTGCACATTTCGAACGCGCTCGTGTAGAAACGCAGCTGGAACAAGCCCTCCGTACTGGTACTGATTTGGGTCATTGCGGTCGGCTCATCAATGATTTGGCCCTTTTCTGTCCATGGGAGGCTAATCTGAGGTAACTAACGGCGGTCAGTAATTATTGATAGCGTTTAGATTTGTGGGCGTGTGGATGGCACTATATTTGTCAGTATCTACGCTTGATCAACCTACATTTTAGCATCAGCCATCTATAATCGTACATTTATGATCCCCAGTCTTCTTCATACTGGAGGGGTTTATGTAATAGTTTCAGCCCTGTACTCATTAAACAGCCCCTTCTTTTTAGGCGAGCCAACTTGGAGTTGAAGCGAGGAAATCAATCCCTGGCTATTGATATTCTACAGGCGCTAGCCGATAGAGCTGAGAGCTTAAGAACGTCTATTGGTGTGAGTGGTGATGATGACCTACACCCTCATATTCTCTACAGTGAGGCGAGCGATGAGGAAGTGGGGAATTCATTCAAAGTTCTGGAACCGCCTAGAGCTGGTGGAGTCGCAGCTCTTGTGCGCTTCGAAGTTCGTACTCGTATAGCCATGGTAGGTGTGCCAATCTAGCTGTGAACTTCCAACATAGTTCTCCATCGGTGTGAAAATAGACTAGATATTAGTAACTGCGTTATTGTTTCTCTGTTTCACGTATCCACTCACCATTTCCCTTTTTTAATTTCCAACATCTCCAGTTCCTCTGACGCAAAATATTACCTTAATAGAGACCTTTCGCACGCAGTAGGAATTATTCATTAATAGCGAGCCCATGAGGTTTGCTCCTGTAAGGCTTTCGAGGCGTCCTTATCATGTGTCGTGCGCAATCTTTTATCTAGTTGAAATTCAATGACGTATGATGCTGGTATGCCTTATAAACGGAACAATGACTGTTGCTTCTCATCTCTATTGTCTTTATCTGCCTTCCAACTTTTGGCTAACCTTACCATTCATCTGAGCGCCACCGTGTTTGCCATGAAAGGTGGAGTGAGCTCAAAGAATATTCCACTTAAATTCTGAAAGTTGTTTAAACAGGTATCTCATTGTCACTATTTCTAATTATTGTCATCACCCTATTCTGGGGGTTCATATTTTCGTACCTATACCTTTTTGTTATGCTTATGCGTTACTAATCCTTGAACCATGCAGCGCCCAGGCGCCTACACCTTAATTCATCCTCACTTCATTAATATATCCATTAATGAAAAGCACGTATAGTTTCTCATCATATTTTGTTCATTTTAAAGACGGAAATCTTGGCGTTCAATGGTATCTTTTTGGAAGCACTCAACCAACTGGAGCGCGCGTTATTACTCAGTCGGCAGTACCACATGAGAACCTTTGCCAACATCTGCACCATCATGATGGCCACGATTTCATCACTGGAAGAGGTCCCTGTGAAAAGTTCTTTGGTGGATGGGACGAGCATTTTTGAAACCTTCACTGACATTTGTCATCAAGCTGAACCAGCAGTTGTAATGCATCTCACCAATATGAAACTATGGTTGTCTCTTTTAGCGGGTTACCTTAATGGTGGGTTGTGTGCTCAATTTATACCCATTTATAATCAAGATCCATGGCATTTAATTTATGCTTTTATGAGCGTATCTTAAATTTGTGTTAGACTGTTATACTGTTTATTTTCAGTTGAAGTAACCTGGAAAAACCGATTGCGTGAGGGTGCCACCTTCTTTGCTAATATTGGAGACAAATATTCCCTCCAAAAAATTGTCGATATATTTGTAGGTTCTTAACTTTGTTTCGCTTCAGTGTTTTGCGAACCAATATTTTTAAGCACCTCTGAAACAGCTTGCACCTACACCCACACTTAATGCATCCACTTCTTGCAAACTATTCATGTTCGTAAAGATTCAATTTTTGACGAAGACTATTCCATCTGTATTACATTTGCAATAAACGTAGCGTATAGATTCTCTAAATAGATAAGTTTCAGGACACATTTGTTACAAATACCTCCTTTGTGTGGATTTGTAATATTTCATTGATCAAATGTCCTTTACTTTATAGGCAGCATTGGACAATCGTACAAACCACTCCAAGTCACGGTTTTTTAAGTATTTTTTCCCGCTCTATTAATCAGAGCTCGATGTGCACTTCAGTCGACGATTCCAAAAGTTCTGAATCCGTTTAACTTGGTGAAATCCCCGACAAGTTAACATTCAAGTTAAGCTGAATGTCGCTATCACATTCACATTTTTACAGATCGTCATTATATATCTGAAGGCCTTGTATTTTTGCTACCCCACTTCATAAATCCATTTCAAGTCTCACCTATCCTGCACTTTTTATTGATAAATAAATGAATAATTTCTGTTTAAAAGTAATTTTAAGTGGAGTAATTTAGCACTAATGAACTATTACTAATTAACATAATCTAAGTCTAATTAATATGCGTGTATTTTATGGGCGCTTAATGTGGTCCCAAAATTTTGGTAATAAAGTTTAAATGTTGTTTAGGGTCCATCAGACTGGTTCATATGTTAGTGAGCACAGTGGATGAACTTCCCTTGCACTTGCCCCATCAAAATCACCAGGACTTCATCGAGTCTGCTGACGATCTTCTGTGACGATTTTGTAGAAATTGTGAAATTTTTTTTTTTTGAATAGACCTGCAATAGTTCATAGGATTCTGAAAACATCGAGATGCTACTCTATAAACCCGTGGTCATTTTCGCAAACTGCCGCCGCTTTTGAAAGTTTTTTTTTGGTGGATAATATTTCACTATTTGACATCTGGGACATGCAGCTTTGGTAATTTTGATATTATCAGTCTAAAGATGCCTGCACTTTTATGCTTTCTGTTAGCAAAACTGATATTGATATGACTTATCAAAGTGCAATACATATCAGATTGCATCATCATGGCCTCACTGGTCTGAACGTTTCCCATGCCTCTCCCCATAGGTGGTGGTGGTTCTATTGGCGTTTGTATTTGACCAGTTTTACTTGTTGAATTTGTGGTCGAACCGCTCTCAATTTCGTTTCGACGATAAGTTTTAATGTAATACCTTTCAATCCCCCACTTGTCCACTGTGTCATAAAATTATGTATAGGTATAAAAAGCAGGCTTATTATGAATGGGGCGTTGAACAAAGTGGGTGTTTTTATGATCAAGATTGATTTTCTTGCCTTAGCTTTTGAAATGCTTCACAAATATTTATGTGCATTCATGGTGTCGCTGATTTACTACTTGTTTAATCCACTACGCTTTCTATAAGCTGTACATATGTTTGGTAGGTGCTACTGGTCGGAATTCAGAAAACAAATAGGGCTTTTTATTCGAGCGACTGGTGTACGCTAGCTGCGGTTCGTATCGCGATTGCGACGTGGGAAATCGGAGAGGATGGCTGTTGACTTCATTACGCTTTTAATTATGACAATTTTTGCCGCTTGTTTGCACACTTCCAATAAGATAACATTCCATATTTTCAATTTCGCTACGAATGAGGAAACAATTTTTTATTCAAGAATCAGTTAGTGAAAATGTACGTTTTGGAGAATAATTCGATTAACTTACGGCTATGCAGAGAGCTGTGGCCCGTTAGTATTGAAGGAGAATCGAAATGCATATTCTTAATGTAGATTATTCGGATTAAAATAATGTTCGAGACTCAGCTTCTTTTGGCGTATACTCGTTAACCCTGCAGACTTGTAAGCTAAAAACGTTTTAATTTGAGTGCATTGCGCATTTCTCAAAAGTATTTGCATGCATTTGTTTAGAAGATTTAATAAGTTATGATTTAGGGCTGAATGAACAAGAGATAGAGACTACTCTTTCTTATTTAAGCAATTGGAATGCTCTTTAAATGCATTTTGGGTGGAAATAATGCGGCGACTTCAAAGACTAATCGTTTCCTAGGTTTCCCGTTGAAGGGAGAGTCCTGGCGCACTCTTCGTAGAAATGGCTCATCATTTTACCCAAAACTACTCTGTATTTCACCATAAATATTTTGAAGAAACGATTAAGTGGTCGTCAGTGTGGCTTTTGTTACATTGAAGAGTTTAGCTTCACACTTTATCTTGAACATTCTGCAATACTGAGCACGCTACTTCACAGTCTCCGTTCTGCACTTCTGCTATTTTCTATTCTATAATGGCTTTTGGGTTAAAACCAGCAGCATGAATATCCGAGAGATCATTCAATGAGAGTGACACGTAAACTACTCTCCTGTGAATTGAATTAATGGCTGAATTTTAAACCATTGTTACTAATGCGGTTGGTGGTTGGCGGGTTCGTAGAGAATCGACAATGTCAACAGAAATCTTTGTAAGGCATCGACAGTCGCCCTCTTTCGTCGTGACTTCAGCAGTGCTTGCTTGAATTGGTCAACAAACCACTCCGCTTGCCTGTTAAATTGAAGGCGAAACTTCGGCGCGTGAATATGCCTAATGGCATCCGCCACAACGATAAGAGACGCCGTCGATTGGGCTGGGGAAAACTTGTAAAAGTCGTGACTAGGTTTCCTCTGGTTGCGACTAAGGCTTTGGTGGGAATTCTGAGGGTTCTTTGCCGTCTGCCGGCAACACCATCAGCTTTTAACGAAAATGGTCATATCCTCACATATTTATGGTCAATAACCACAACTTCTGGCGATGGACTCAATGGAGCTGACGCCGGAATGACCTGTGTGAACTTGTTGAAGTGCTCCAGAAGTAGTGACGTAGACAAAACAACGATTCCCAAACATCAGGTACTCCTCGGCAACGCTTAGTGAGTTACTGTGACGTACTACTAGTTCGAGGATGTCGCAAGGTAAGCACAGCCAGTTATTCTCGACGTAGCGCAATGCCTACCTCAGCATGATGTTTAACCTTGTCGTTTCTTGAGCTTTGGCAGTGGTTATTGGGAGGAGTCCGAACAGTACAGATAAATTGATGAGTTGAGACAACCCTTTTGACGATTGTCGTCGACTGTCCACGGGGTACTCCAGTTGTATGTTTAATTGCAGATAGCTTTGATCGGTACCTGATCCAGTTCCAGATTGTCGAACCTAGTAAAGGCCAAATAAATTGGAGTTGTCCTTCAGGATTTATCACGTTCCTGCAAATGTGCTACGGAAGGATAGGCAGTACTGGAGTTGTCTGGAGAGCTTCAGTTGGCCACTACCTACATTTGTGGCGGTTCGAGTGGTCTGATGGATTAGTGGTTTACCAAATTAACGCCATATTTTCTCGTAATAGTAATGCTCGAGGTGGTGTCCAGCTGTAGCCGCGCTGGACAGCCATTGACGCAGGCAGTTATGAACCTTCGATGGCCCAGAAAACGTTGGGTGGACCATAAGCGTTTTTGTCTTGTTTGACTACGTCCCCCACTCTTGTTGGTGTCTACTTTGGAGCCGGGTGGGCGAGATCGACAATACTCCTCTTTGTGGCCACCAGCGGTGTAATGGCGACATCAATGATGTCTATGGGGGCGAAACTTGGGGTGGGAGGCCTTGCAATCTCAGTGGGAAGAAGTAAGCGTTTTCTTAATCTTGACATCAGAGCAGTGGTTCCAGGAATGTAGGCTATATTTGGACGACCAGGCTTCCATAGTGGTTTAGTGTTCAGCATGGACCTGGGAAATGTTTTTGGTGGGAACCCTGCAACCCCAAAATGTGTTATTTTCCCCATTTTCTAGAAGTTACTATTTGGCTAGTTCTTAAGCATTCTAAAACACCGCGTTCTCGTTCATTCCTTTCTGATTGGCCAATATCATGCATAGTGCACTTTAAGTGGGCTAATGCTCACTATAAGGCCAAAATAGTTCAAATACTAAGACTATGCGGGACTAATACCACCCCTTGTCTCCCACAGCCTCCACTATTCAGCTAGCTACTACGTACGCACACGTGCCCCCGTGCTTCCTTATACCCGTAGGCTAATATGTACATTTCTATCGAAGTCTTCGTCTATTAATTACTCTGATCGGGAGCTTGGCAGAATCCTTAACCAGCTCCACGAGACGTATAGTTCTTATTTCTTGCATTAATGAATAGACATGAGATTTTCTGCTAACTGCAAATGTACGATGCAGTATTACGTATGGAGAATGTTCAACGATAAAACGGTACAAATTGTAAACACCCACAGCCTACTTCTTACTGGCTTTTAAATTCCTTCCAAAGGTATTGATAGACTACTTTTAGAAAGTGGACGAATAAATGTCGTCTAAATTCACCACACCTTAGAGAAAACAGACAACACCGGTAAAATACTTTCCGTCGTGTAAGAAATTGTATACATTTATCAGCATATAGGTTACCTGAGGGACTAGAAGAAATGTAAATTTTTTAGGAAGAAAAGCTCTACAGTGATGTTAGTCCGTGTAAATGGCCTAGTGAAGACCATGGCTTCGGATGGGGGATGACTGACAAGTGTGCTGGTTGACTAGACGCTTTTGTGTTGCGTATATACAATCGATTTTGACTCTGTTGAAAGTCCAAATTCTGTTGTTAGACCCTTTAGATCACAGAAGAGATCCTGAAGATAGGGCGTGGAGGAAACAGTCGGAAAGGGAAGGAAGGAGATCTGTAATTTTGTTAAGGCATCCATTGGGAAATGCGGTGGAGGATCACAAGACTTTTTGCAGTGGTAATGGGAATTGGGGGCAATTTTTTGTTAAGATGCCACTCCATTGAAAGTAGAATTTGGTGCAGAGGTTTGAGGACGGCTCATTCCTTTACGTCCGCAGGTGACTTGTATTCTCCTGTCCGCTTGACGGACTTGCGCAGAGGAATCGCCTATTCTGAGACTCTTGGCCGTTAACGGGATCGCACTGAGGACCACTTCCTGTTATAAACGGATTGCCTGACTGGTCGAGACCAATGTCAGCGGTGCAGGCACTGGATCCACCTGATTGCGGATAGCCACTGTACGATACACCCTTCACCTGGGGATACCTTTGGAATTCAATATTGGGCACGTGTCCGTTCATGTATGCCGGAGACGCATAGGTGGGGATTGAGGGTGAGGGAAAAGGCGGTCGCATAGGGACACCTTCAGCAGAGAGGTAGGCGCACTCGGTAGTGGGACTGGGGTAGACGTACGGAGAGGGATGCATGTGGCTGGGCGAGAACTGCATGGGTTGCAGCTGACTGGTGCTGGTGTTGGTGGTACTGTTCATGGGTGAGGAACGTATCTGCACATGAGCGGCTGGAGACACTTTGGAAGAAACTGTCGATCTGCCCTGGTGCTGGGGACTTCCACCTCTCGTAAATGTCATTGAGGCGCTTCCCGTGAGGGAACTATGATCAAGGAAGCGATGGGAGGAGTTGAGGCTTGGTTTTTCACCCGATGCTCCCATGCCCTGGCTGATGAAGAAAGCCTTCTGGTCGTTTCGTTGAGTTCGTTGCCGGTTCAGACGACTGCGATTCCGAATAATGACCGAAGCAACTGCGCAGATGCAGACCAGGAAAACGCAAATTGGTACGACTATGTAAATAGTTAAGTGGCGTGGAGTTGTCTCTCGAACATCACCCAAGCCCTCGATTATTTTGTCACCATCTAGAAATGGAAAGCACACGCTGGGATTCCATTCATACGCAGAGCTGTTCATGAGAACCAAAACTGAAACTAAATATTCATCAATCGTGTACGATTTATGCACATCACGTCTTGCATGCTCATAGCAAAATTAACGGGTGCGTACAATCAGGACTCGTAGTTATGCTTAACATAAAAAATGAAGTGGTAAATGAGTAAATCATTCGATAAATAGCCATCCGTTAAATTATGTAGTCATTCTGTTTCGTTGAACTGTCACTAGAATTGGCGGTCATGTTTCCACTTCAAATACTACGTCATATCACAGACGATGCTCGGTGTTGTGCAGGGAGGAGGATGTGTGAAAATAATTCGAAGGCCATCGGGTCAAGCGGGCCGCACAACAGGTGACGCAAAACCAATGGCCACACGTGCACCTCATTAATTAAGCAAATTCAGGTGCACGCAATCGGCCAAATGTTAACAAAGTTCTTCGACTGGGCAATGTTTAATTCACATCGTAGGTCAATTTCAATTTACTTATATTCACCTTGTTTCTTATGATTTATGTTAGGATTATTTGTAAAATCTTTTCAATGGAATTCAAAGTTTTGTGTATGAATTCAAAGGTAATATGCATCTGTATGGATGAGCAAAATAATTATAAATATGCCAACTACGACCTATGCTGCCACCAGACGGTTATAGTAGATCTTCTTTTTGGAGCAAACTCTATCATTTTATACACAACAATATTACTTGAAGAGCAGTAACCATAGGGACCAGTCTTAAGAAACATAAACACACTTTTAAATGAGTAGGTAGGCAAACTGATTCACCTCAGATAACTTAACTTACAAGCTAAAATTTAGTGAGCAAATAGGCAAATGGACAAACCTTTAAGGGAAATGTGCACAAACTTATGATCGTCCCGGCCGGATTCAGTTATGACTGAGCATATGTACAGACCGGCATCACGCGGTGAAGCTGACCTTAGGACGAGACGACTGCGCCGAGAGCCGGGATTGCTAACAGCCAGTGGCTTGGGAATATCGAAGAATTGTTGTAGGTCTTGAGGCAGAATAGTTGGCAGCACAACGTACGTGCCACCCGACCAGTGAAGAACTTCGTTTGTTCGAGAGTCAGTCGTACCAGATTCATCCAAGGATATATATTTGCCCCACTAAGCAGAAAGAAAACGGTCCAAGTTATCCAAAAATGTCAACAGTTTTGCAGAGTTAGGGAACTTCTGAATATTCAAATTCTTACACGTATGGTTGCTGACCGGTGTTCTTCCTCATTTATTTCACAAGGAAAAGCGGCGTCGCTTCCTAGTTCGACAGTCGTGGTTATATTATGAGGGCCCTGAATAATTTCTCCTTCTGATCTTGCTACAATGAAAATATGATATTACGTGTCTTAAGTTATCCCGGTTGGAGTTGAAGCACCTCACCCTGGTTGTATCACCTGAACAAAGTTGAGTCAACCTTATTAAACAAACTTTCAGCCAATTTGTCGCCAACACGCTATTTTTGAATGACTATTTGTCGAATGAAAATATGAATACTGTTCGAAGGAAAAGGCAAGCTTCTACAAACACCGAATACAATAAAAATAAACGTGCTTTTGCAACTAGTGCAAAGTTTGGCACCACAGGACACTTTCACGAAGTTGGCGAACATTACCAGAGTTCACATGCTACGTCACAAATAGCAGTCTCTCTAGATGAAGTAGTAATTGAAACTGAAATGCTATGCAGCCTCACTTTTCAACTGCCTCAGATAGTGTTGAGCATACTTAGGAGGCACAGCCTGAGCTCAGAATTACCGCCATGCATCCTTGGTTGTGATCTGATTTTTGACAAATTTCAATTGCTACAGATATCTGTCTGCTCGATTCCCTCCCTAACCACCTTCAGAAGACTTGCATTTTTGTCTATTTTTGCGTTCATAAATGTCCATGAGGTTTTTTGTTAATTGCAAATGTACGACTAAAGCGTATCTGTACATGGAAAACGTTCAACGAAGAGCGCAGCCAAAGCGCATCTTAAGGCGACTATTGCGCATCGTGCTTCACATTTACCGGGGTTTTCCAAGCTTCGAGGAATGTTTTGAAGTAGTTCACCTTAAAGTCCTTTATAATTCAACAAATTTAGTTAAAGTGTTGGGGGTAGATGAGAAATTTGGCCGAAACAGTAGTGTAAAACTGATGAGTTTAGACTACATGAGGTTTTATTTGCTAAGTGGGAATCAAAATCAAACCAATTTCAAATTGTTTTGTGAACGAATGTATATTTTTGATACAAAACTAGGTCATGCATTAGGTCATTGCCTATGAATTGCATTATAAAGAAGAACTCAAATAATATTCACCGTCGCCTGTTTAACCGGTTAAAATGAATTTTTGGTGCGTGCATCCACGATCATGGAATAAAATCTTTAACTGGTTTAATCTGGCTTGACTTTCCAAGATTAGAAACGTGGATTCAGGCTTAATCATCCTTTGTGATGTGGCTCAAAGAAAACGGTTAAAGAGCATGAACACAAATAGATAAACACAAAAGGAATATTCACGTACAGATGCAAAGATGTACACAATGCTGAAAGTGTTTCTGGAATTCATAATTACGTGGCAGCGAAGAACACGGCGCCACAGTGTATTTTTTGCTGACGGTATGTTTTGCCGTTTATGAATGGTCTCGTGGCGCAATTTGATTGTAGGACAATATTTCTGATAGGAAAAACCAAGTATGCTGTGAAGAAAAATCCTGTTGCTTTCTTCTAAGGTCAATTTTATGATCATTTTTTGCTGTCATTAACATGTCGGCCTCGGTACAATATGGATTAAAAAATGAACTGCAAACACCATTTTGTTGCAGTCTAAATTCTTGGTTGAGTGTAAGCATAGATTATAACCTAGCTAAATCAGATGTTTGTTTTCCTTAACAAAGAAAACGAAAAAGAGAAGGAAAACTGCCCTTTTCTGCTTATTGGCCTGAAATTTTATTTAAATTTTAATTTGTCTTCTTTATCCCAGACTATTTTCTTGAATAAAAACAAAGACAAATATCTCCAAAATCGGATGAAATTTAATACAAATAAGGAGAATAAGCACAAATGCTTTTTTACATAGATGCACTACACGGTCGTTTATAAAAACTATCTCAAGTTTTCCCAAACAGTTGTAAAAATCTGACAAAGTTATAATTGACAATTTCTAAAATACACGGGATACTAAACTACTAAATAATGCATTCTTCGTGCACAATAGGAGTCTATTCGATTCTGCCAATTAAATATGAACTTGCCTTTGACTTCATTCCATGTAAGCTAAAAATATGCAATGCTTCCTCGAAGATGCATTGACACTAAGCATTATTCTCATCGTTTAGAACATTGAAATTGACCTACTATGGAGCAAATTTTGCTTGTGCCCACTTCAGATGTGAACATCCACGCTTTTGGTTGCAGATTCTCTCACACAACCACTAAGAGTCATGTCCTTGAGGTTGAACTGGAAGTTCCACTTACGCTGAACACGAATTCTGAATGTCCGCAAGAGTTTACCGATGGTCAAAGCGCCCGACAGGTTGCCTAGTTTGGCATCCACGTAAACGGAGCACCGGTACTCGCCAGCATGAGCCAGAGTAATCTTCCGAATGCGCAGGGTGGATCCGGTGAAGCGGGCGACCGCCTCTGCGGGCGTCAGGTCGGTGCTCTCCTTCTTGGCCGTCATGCGGGGAGGCCTCTCACGGTCACTGGGATAAAGGGGCGGGTAGGTGTCCGGCTCGTCAAGGTGCGAACTGATGTCTATTGAATTGAGTGGATGAAATATCCACGTGTATGCCACCCGCTCTGCTAGGCCTTCAACGGCAACGCTCTCGCAGTCCAAGTTCACGTCTTCGCCCCATGCCTGTAGCTGTGACAGTTCCGCCTCCGAGTAGGTGTTGAGAAAACACGGACCTAGTGGCATTTCAAACTCATACATCACATCACCATAGTCAGTCATGGTTTGAAGAGGCGTGTGCAAAAGATCCTTAGGTATTACAAACAAGGACATAAGCGTGCATTTAATATCCTAGTGTTGGAAAATGCGTACCTATCTTACAAACTTCCCGGGAAGTAAATATACAGTTCTAATGTGACATTGAATTTTACTCTTTACGGGACAGAGAGTATAAATCAAAGGAATTTTATGCATTCAACACTATGTTTTGATGAATTTTTTAGTCTTACATTCAGGAGATTATAAGTCTCACTGTCTCCCGAGAATTAAAGCATAAACCACTGATCGCTTCGTGTACCCCATTGTAAAAAGGCAGTTACTGATTATGCATCACAGTCAATGCGATAACAGCGGACAAAAGTGAAAGAACATACCAGAGTCACTAACACGACCGTTCGATAGGAGTGCACAGCTTTGCTCAACTGCTGGGGAGAATTTGTCTAAAGAAGAATAACTTTATTTCAGTTCTTTTTGACAGGTGCATTCTACCCTCAGATTCTAATTAAACATTTCTACTTATCTTTGAATAAGGAAAAGGAACATTTCAACGCCTAAATATTACAATTTTACCAAAAAACATTTAACACGCCAGCGAAAGTTTACGATTTGTAATCATTCCGCCACCTAGGATAGGTGCATGCCAGCATTACACCGAAGGCAAGAGGGATGACTTTTCAAGTACATCACTTCCAACTGTTATTCAGAAAATGTACCGATAACTTTGATATTGAACTCAGCTGCATTGTGGCCGAATCCGTTGACGGCGCTGCAGATGTACTTTCCGGTGACTGAGAGACTGTCCGCCTTGAGGGAGTACATTTGGTCCTCCGAGAGGATCCAAGACGCCTGTGCCGCCGGGGTCCATTTGTAGAAGGGGGCTGTGTAGGGGCACGTAAGGTTTATGGTGTCCCCAAGGTTCACTAGGTAACCTCGGCGATAATCCACCCTATGGTGTAGCGCTGTTGTATTGGCTGGAACCAGACAAGGGAGAAGGACATTCAGATCGAAATCCCAAAACATACGCGCCAAATAGCAAGACCACCTGGAAGGTTCTACTGTAAAGAAGAGGCCTTAGGTACATCGCTAAACTGTGCATCGAATCGAATTAAAGTGTTTTCTCTAAAATAGAAAAATGTCATGTTCCCAGTCGTCACCATTTGGCACTAGGCTTACGTGAGTGAACACACGCATCCTATTGGGACGTACATATTACTGCAATTAAGGCTTGTTTTCACCTCCATTCCCCAAACACTCGATATGATAAAGAAAACATACTTACGTTACTTTGTGGCAGTCTAAAAGTAATAATTTTCATGAATGTAAGGAGGTAAGAAAATGTAGGAAAAACATTGTTGAAGTGCATCAACAAGTCCTCGTGGACGGTGGTAAATGTAAAACTATATTTTTAGAAAGGGATTTTATTTTCTATGAAAAGCAGCGGCAATCTTTCTGCTCCAATGTGATCACTTTATTGGTATAATAAGTTATTTGAATTTTTCTGGAATACCTGCTCAATTTTTCCCTTCAACACTTTGGTAGTTTGCGGAAAATGTGCCCAATTTTGTTCGGCAACTTAGTTTGTCTTCATGATGCAAACGAAACGGTGGCTTGGTATAAATAATGAAGCTGAGATGTGCGTGTAGAGCCTGATTAAAATCGACTTAGTGAATTTATCAGTGATTTTGTCATCATTTTCCGTGCGAGACGCGATGGGTCGGCACGCCCCATAAATATGCGAAGAGAAATCCCCATTCTGTTGTTCGTAATATATGTCATACCTGATATCTTATTTATGAGTACCTACTCTTTCATGGCACTGTAATATGTGCGCGTTAGGTGCGACTGTTTATTACTCTTTTGCTCGCTCTCCCTATCTCGCATTGGTTGTTGTCGACGGATGGAGAAGGCACGGCGGTGTGGAGGGGTAAATAACCCAGCAAGAACGCAACGAGGAAAAACTATTGTTTAGATGTATGAGTGTGCAGGAGGAAAGGTTCGTACTGTTTGAACCTTATCAACACTTTATTCCCCTCCTCTGGCTGTTAATGCGGAGAAGAACGTATATGACCCTATTGTGTTAGTTTTGCCCCACTTTCCTCGTCCTTTTCCTCCGTCTTACCTGCGCCGACCCGCATACAATTCACGGCAACGCGGAGTTGCTGTCTTTGGCCAAACAAGCACTACCGAGTGAAATCGTCCAGACTTTTAAGGCTTTAAAACTGAAACCAAAAGTTATATAACTGATTTACACCATAGCATGCCTTATTAGACGAGTATACTGTGTTTACACACTGTAGTAACTTCTTTCAAAAGTGCAAGTCCTTACTGTTTGCATAAAATAATCAAATGTCATGCCAGTCGTTTTAAATAACTACAAAAGTGTGCAAAATGAAACGAAATAAAATCAAATGAAACATGGCTTGGAATTATATTCAACTTCCTTGATTGGTGGAGCGAAAACTGAGATACTTCGTAACAAGGAATTTAGCGAGCTATTGCGTGCAGGCATGGCAGTATCATCCTTTGAGCTCAGGTTGAAATATCCTGTGCCTCCGAATACCGGCGGCAGCTCCACCACTTTTGATGAGATGAATGATCCTTTCCTAGATGCGTTTATTCTCTCTGCAAGCCACATCAGTGCTGGAAGTGGAAGTTAAAAATTTAAATGACTGCCTCTAAAGTACCAAGGGTACCCGCACTCCCGCAGGATGGGCTAACATGCCAATGCTAAATACGATTTCGGGGGTGCAGTATTATAAATGGAATGCACTCGCTACGCCATGAGCAGATTGACCGGTTTCCTCACGTTTATGAATGAGGAAGGAAGGATTTTCAATTGAGATGTGCGTGACAGCGTTTGTAGAAATTGGTTTCTCACTACTTGACGGGAGTGGAGACACTCGTTGCGACTGTTGCCTGCGGAGGCACTTTCAGTGTGGTCGTCGGGTTTGCGAAGGTGACTCATAATTGTGAAGCGGTGATCCGCTTTCCGGACAGGCAATTCACGCACGGAGAAGTGGATGAGAAACGGCCAACACCCAATCGCCCCCTAATTATATCGGGCGGCGATTAGTTGGATAATGATCCCGTTCCAAGAGTTTTCACAGCACAAAACAGTGCCTGCATGGCTTTATCAGCCCACGCCTATAATTGGCTACATTACTTTAAAAAAAGTGAGTTCTAGCAACTACTTTTGAGTGTTTACTAGGGTAATTATGAGCACCCTTCATTCCTACATCATCGCAGCGTTCTCCATTCTTAAATTTAAATGATTTAATGAAGTGCTGTATTGTGGAAAGTTGTATTGCTGAACCGAGGGTAGCGGTTTTTTAGAGTACTGCACGAACCGGGATGAGTGTGGAAGGGTGGAATGCCGAGAGACGAGGAGGGTCAGACCGCTGCTTGCTAGTTTGTGTGCAGTGTGTGCGTGCTCCCTCCACACGAGTTGATGGACAGTGGCTGCCAATCAGAGCATTTTATTGATGGCAGTCAGTCCCGCTGTTTTTCACACTGTGCAGTTGTTACGTCGTCTTGACTCGAAGTAAATGTTTATAAATACGTACATACACACACCAATTAAAAAGTCTGATTGACATTCACAAAAAACCCGCGATTTCTCACACAAGACCTGCCACAAAGCACAAAAATTTGTTGACTATGCAAAAGCCACATAGACAAAGTATGTGCAGGTTGAAACTATTCCTAATTTAATTTTAAGTGTTTAGAATTCCTTGTTTTCATTTCGTTCCTAGGTCACGAGAAGAAAGCCGGGTGCTGAAACACGTTTTGTGGAAAACAAACGCGTATGCTCTCGTTAGGGAGATTATAGCAACAAAACCAGCATCAATCGCTATAACCCCCTGCTTTTAAATACGCATACAAGATAGGGAGGTAGGTAAATTTAAAAAGCATTGGATCCTTATCCTTAATGCTCCACTTCTAACTGTACAGCAAAGTCCATTAAGTGAAGCACCTTCATGCTATTCATTAAAATTTGTTGTTTAAATTGTACCTGATTGAATACTGTTGCAAAACTACCCCACAGCTTAAGTTGAGGAAGAGAAAGGATATTTTGAAGGGTTCACTGCAGGTTCCCTCTTACCGAATAACGAATTCAAATCAAGTAGCACCCGAGGTCAATGAGGAATACTGCACAAAGTTAGCTTCTAACTGATGCTGTGTCGACTAACCGCATACTGCAAAGCATTTTTAAAAGTCAATCTTTTTCAGTCTAAGAAAATAAGTACACAAAAGAATTGGGAAGCCCTATTCTTACTCCTCAGTCCTTGAACTACATCATTTCATTTTTATTAAAGTAAATTAATCAGAGGGCAATAGCAAATGGTTTTTGATGATTGCAACAGATCAGGACGGCTTCCCTTCTTAGATATACCATTCAACTAGGAAAGAGAGTTGGTTTTCGCTGTGGCACAATCAAGATGAGCGATGCAAGCATCCACTTTCGCGCGAGTGCGCAAGGTGAGGGCACAAGAAGTGGAAGAGGAGGAGAGAGAAGGCGAGTGAGTGAGCGAACGAACGAAAGGGCAAGCAAAAGCACTACATTACGACTAGACGTCTCTTCTTTTACCTCCTCTTCAAAGTTAGCCAATAGAAAAATCCATTTTATCGTCTGTTCAAAGCTCAGCTTTCACTTGAAAAAAAAACCAAATTAGGTTCAGACAGGTAAACAAGGTTCAATTGTGGCAACTTTCACCCAAATATGAACCTTAACTGGACAGATAGTACAATTCTGAATGACGAGAAATGGTTACCTACGATCGCAAAATACCAGCAGGGGAATCATTCTAATCTGAATCGACCTGGCGATTCACGTACAACTGCCATCCCGCCTCTATCGAAACACTAAAATTTTATTTGAGATTGAATCGACGGTATCTCCAAAAATGCATGTCATTGCATCTGAAAAGTAACATCTTGTCGACAAGGTTTTCTCGCTCCCTCTCTACACTCGCATGACTCCATTTCCATTGCCTCTGGAGCTGCCTCTCCCTCAGTGGACTACAGTATCACGCATAAACACGCAACCAGGTCAAGCAATTACCTCACACGCCAACACATCGACTACCGGGGGGGTGGAATGATGACGTTGTAGGCGCAAACGAGAGAGTGAACGGGCGAGCCAGCTAGGAAGGGCGGAGGAGGCAACGATGGTGGGAGGTGGTAGTAGTAGTATTGGCTTTGGAGGGGTGAGGCAAGATAGGGTGGAGGTAGCGGTCCGCGACAGACGTTTGACAGTGGGGGACGTACAATTTGAAGCCGGAATACACGGGGCAACTTAGCTTTACTTAGGTAAAAGAGGGCGGTGAAAGAAAATCTGCCTATGTCAAGCCTGCTCTGATGTCACAAACGGCCAGCAAGAACCCTGGTCAACGTCACGCTGATGAAAAACAAGCACAACATCATTGATAGCATTACTATTGACAGAGACGTCTGTGTATTCTGATTTGAAGATTAGAAGTGAGGTCATCCCAGGAAAAACTCATTTATCATGCGTATGTGCTTGCAAGTCCGACGATAAGGCAAAGTCTCTAACATAAACTCATCCATACCTATTTTTGACACCAAACTGTTTTTCCTAGAACATCAATCCATCTCTTCTATTTCACATATGCAGACGCACTCGCCACTTTTTTTGAAATATTTGATGAAATATGTAAATTATGCTCTTGAAATAATGCAAATGCATCAGTAGTGATGAGCCACACAGTCTCGATGTGGTAAAAGCAACGATTTGGTTGGAAGGTGTACTAGTTTTAATAAAATCCTTCGTACGTTCCATGCAACTCTTCTCTAAGCAATCGGAAGCACTATCTGATAATTACATAAAAACTCCACACTAAATCTTGTTTTAAGCAGTACAACATCAACGCCTTGCATAATATTCAATCAGAACGGTTAAAAGACTACTTTTTCTACTGAAAAATGATTGAATGTACAGCAATAAGTATAAACTGTACTAACCGTATTACTAGTTTGGGTGAAAAACGCATTAATAGGTCAACATCAAGTGAAGAAGAGGAAATTCTGCAAAAGCAGTGCTACGCATTCCAAAAGGCTACAAGCTTCACTGACTCCGTTTATCTTAACTGACAACACTGATGTCCTTTCTGGGCACGATAGAATGGATGCGTTTGCTAAGATTTTCATAAAGCTGACAGATAGGTTTGCTAGAAATGTGAAAGAATGAATTGTACAACAAAATAAACGCAGATCTCAGGTAGCCAAAAGTGTTAACATTCTCTGCACGCTCACCATTAAGTGCATTAACTACCTTCGTCATTTATGATTTTGTTTCAGCTTTAACGTGGATGGTAATCAATCCGCCTAAACCGTCTAGAAATTCCCAAATGCCATCTAACACACTCAAGGAAATATTAGTGACACTTATCAGTTGAGCAGCAGAAAAATGAGCTCAGCTATAAAACTTAGATTCTCTGCTTCAGGACTGACCTGATAGAGTTTTAAAATCCTTTCAAATAAGCACGATAATTTTATTACCGCTGGCTAATTTAACTTTCGCGGACTATCAAATTTGTATGAATACATAGATTTTGGGTTTGATACAACGCTTCACCTTCCCCACAAACATTAGTCAGTTTAATTAGCCCAACTTTTGAAGTGAGAGTGAACTAATAGACGTGCAAGGAACCGGTCAACTCCATTTCAAAATGATCAGGAAATAGCTATTTGTATTTTTCTTTTCGAATTCCGCAGCTTCTAAAGTTCACGAAGCTATTAGGAAGGGTAGTAGCAGACAGATTATTCAAGACTGCATTAAAAACCCTCCCTCAGTTTTGTTTAAATGGGTTAAAAGGGTTTCCAATGTGTCGAAGTTCCTCTCCAGATGGATAATTCGCCAGACAGTTGAGAACATCGGTTCAAAGAGCATCGATTTTGTAAACACAAATGCTACAAGAACCCAAAGCTCTTGTCTAAGTAATGTTTTAGCATGAGGTGTACATACCTGATCCGCGGTCTTTCCAGTGCCTTATCGGCGAAACTCACTTCGCCTCTATCTACATGCTGTGTGGCTTTCGACTTCTTACTATAATTTCTGCTGGTATATTGCACGATAATATCTATTTGTTAATAAAAAATATCGAAATGTGTAAGTTTTACAGGAAACGGGAATCAAAACCACTAATTTTTGTGTGCTACCACGAAATCACGCAACTGGGAGAAAAGTTGGTGGCATTTAAGGATAAAGCTTGAAACTGCATTCAGCCGAATTCATTTACGTCAATGGAGCAAAAAACCTGCATGTACATTCCTTTCCTGTTGTATTAAAATGTTTGCCTGGAAAAAACATCCGGTATACAATTTAATTCGAGGAAGGAAGGAAGGGAGACGAGGTAACGCTCCCCACCCCTTCCCACGGACAGTTGTTGCATTTCGCTTCTTATTTTCAAGCCTGCATTAGCCCGTCAAGACTGCCAAATGAATACAAACTTCCATGTGACAAGAAAATAATAACTAGAGCAAGTGAGGCAATAAACAGAGAAGAAGATGGTAGCTCTAAAGCAAAATTTCCCGTCAAATTAATCACGGAATGGTTGATCCACGAATTGTGAGTGCGTGAGAAAGCGAGTAATTGTCAGATATCAGCTTCTGGGTCTGGAAAACAACCAATTCTGGACTGTCGGAGGTCGAGGTATGGTGGGGATGCCATTTGGCAAGCGCAGTACTGCTGATTTACCCAAAACTGACAGCCTGACAGGCTCGGTTTTCGAAGCCACCTCCACTTTCTCCACCCCACGACAACCCTCCTACACCTCCTTACACTACGGTTCTCTTCCTCCTCATACCCCCTCTTGCCAGCATGCCTGCCTGCTTTCCTGCCCGCCTACCTTCCAGCCCCTTTTCCCCGGGAAAAGTCAACCGCGTCTGACAGCTCTGACGGGTGTGACATGCCGCGCGTGCACACGCGCCCTCTGCTGCACACACACGCATGCACCAGCCCAACGCTGCTGCTATGGCTCTCATTCTCGCTTTCGCTTTCTCGCTCTCGCCCTCTCTCCATCGGCAGCTTGATTTTTCTCCGGAACGAGGAAAAAACCACATTAGCGAATTTGAATTTAACTTTTTCACGCAAGGATATTGATACCTGTAGACTCGTACCTTTTCGTTATTCCCGATTCTCCAAAATCATACATTTGTAGTCATTATTTATTCCCTAGATTGCAAATGTGTGAATTACCTGGCGGGAAGGGTGTTTGGTTAAGAAAAAAATACATTCCTGCTAGCTTAATGTTTCTACATACTTTTGCATATATATTCAGTGATTATGCTCTTACTCCCATCATATCTACCGAACTACAATTTGCTAGGCTGAATGAGAATTCGTAATTTTTTGACTGAAATTCATAATAAGGAGGCCAAGCCAGAAGTGTTATATGATTTGGGCAACTAGTGTTCGTAAATCGCTTTAAATAAATGTAACCTAATAAGTAGGATTCTTCTACTATCTCACCAACAGTAGTGTGCCAGTAACTTCATTCGTATTCTGCAACTGTCAGTCGTGATGAAACTCGACGAGTGATCGAGATAGAGTAATTTTAGACCATAAAATAGGAATGTATATGATATTTTACAGGATTAGAGAAGTTTCACTCAATTGTACCCCGTTTTTGATAAAGGATTCAGATAGGCGATTGCAGATTTGCCGACGTTAACTCCCACGCATTGACCGGCAAATCGTACTTCAAGTTTGGTTAAAAAATCCAAAACAAAGTATAGCAGATCATCGACTAGGCTGGTCATGTGTCGAAGAATGACACCACACGGATTTGCCGTGTTAGTCAGTTAATTATACATAGGTGTTGACGTAAATCAAAAGAAGCTTACCTTTTCCAATATGAAGGCTGAACGCAATGATTGTGAGGTAAATGTGAGCAGCTGCCAAAACAACTGTTGAGGGATGCACTTCCTGAGCGGATCGACCGGAGAGCTTTCTCGAAGATGGGTTCATCTCGACGACAGTAGGTTAGTTAAAATTATTCTAAAACAGAATTTTATCAGCAGTGATTATGTGCATGTTTTACCACTTCTCGCATATGTGAATTATAGAGAAATGTGTATGCTAATTACCCCTATGGTTCAAGAAAATTAGATAGGTGATCACTCACGCTGTGATCGACCATTGGGTTGATTGATGCCCATCAACTTGACATACAATTGAGTAACAAAATTTTTACCTCTTACAATAATTACTGTAATTTTTATGCAAATTTTAATGCAGGCATATCTTCAGTTATCTGGCTCCAATGTCCTTTCTATATTCCGTAATGCGGTAGCGGCTAATTTTCCCACAGAAGTTAAGACAGGAAAGGTTTCCTCACATTCCCTTCCAGCACCTTTTGTCATATGCGTCTATATCCTCCTAAAGTCTATTTTAACCACCTTCACCTCCACCTCCTTTGTCATGGTAGATCTTTCCATAATAATTCAGGCTGAAAAAATGCATACAAAAGCATTCTTAATGACAGTTTGCTTGGCGTTCGCTGTTTCCTTTTCTCTGGCATCAGGCGCTCAGCTATTGCCTTATTTCCTTTTAACTTATCTAAATTTAACGACCCAAAGATACTTCACATAAACTAACCATCTGAATTGTGGTACGATGGGGAGTCGCCAATGGTGAGGGCAGTGTCGGGACTTGAATGATGGAGTGAAACTACCAGTCACATACATTGCTAACTCAAGCACAAGAACAGCACTAGGAAAAGGTAGTTTTTCAGACAAAATCGGGATAAAAAATGACACTTATTAGAAAAAAGATGCATAGGAAATAAACAAACATACACTACTTATAGTCGTTTGATATAGGGGCTGTTCAGATTATATCGTACGGTGAAAATATGTGTAAATAATTTCGATCACAATATTTTATAAGTTTTCAACTAGAATAGTCAATTTGGATTTAAATAGGTGATTAAAATTTAAATGTTATCTTGAACACTGCCGATAGAAGTACTTTAATCCGTCTGGTTACGTATCTACCAAGGAAAGGACGACGACATTAGGATAATTTGCAGTTAGATATAGGCTTCGAGAAGCGAATAGTGGGCAGAATAAGGCAGCAAACAACAGGCGGTTGCCCCAACAGCTTTAGAAAATCGTTAATTCACATACACACGAGCAAATAAGTTATGCTTATTCCCATCAATGTTGGTGTAACGAACAATAAAGTAAATCTCGAGTACTTGAAATGTACCACCTGTTTCCAATGGCCAGGGCATGACAAGTTGCACCAACTAGCTTCGTGGTAGCCAGTAAGTTTCCAAGCCCACGAATAGCGATGCAGGGAATGTAATCTGCTCTCAAATAGCCAAAACATTATCGTATCCGTACCTTACCCCATTTCAGATGTGATGGTCAAGTCGACACGAGTAATGATTACGGCGAGGGAAATATATGGATAACGCACGAGGAGCAATGATGGAACGCAAAGGAATGACGAAAACCAACTCATTCACTAGTCTTGCATGTGATTTTCTAACCACAGCCTGAATACGACGAATCAAATGATATTTCTTCTTCCAATTCTCTTCTTATTGGCTAAAGTGAAGGTATTCATCAGTTTACATCCCTTCATTCTTGCCACTTTCTTCTTTTTCAATTTCCAATCATTGAAGTGAACGCTTCAGAGTGTCACTTTAATAGTACTTTTCAGACGTCATTACAGGCGACAGCAGGAACCACACTTTGTTCCGATTGATCGAATAAGGACGAAGTAATTGCAACTGCGTTAGGTAGAAATTCATATCCACAACCAGTGAGTTAAAAAAGCATACTAGTGATACTAACTTTACCCTGAGTCCCAGCGATGGCACTTAAGGTACAAAGTGGAAACAGGCGATACAAAAATCAAGATCAGCGTGGAGACACGCTTGCATGCGAACGACTGGCAAATGGATTAAACCTGCGAAATTGGGCGTGTTCAGCATAAGAGGGGTAGTGATGGGGAGATAGTGAAAGGTAAGCTGAAAAAGAGGACGCTCTAAAATAGCGTGTAGCAGAAGCGGCAGCAACAGTAATTGCAGTGCTGCAATTTAACTACACCCAGTCTACAGCCGGATCATGCGTTATTTGTGGAAAGGTGGGTGGGATTCACAGGAAATAACAGTCGAATTACTCCCATATTATGCTGTTCATAGATTTATGCAGAATCAAAGTACAAATTTGTTTTTATTCCTTGCTGTAGTCGGAACTTCTCAAAAGTTTCAATACCAATTTTCGTGACATTCCTGGATAAATTCGGGTGATCAAAAGTTCAATGACATAATGAGTGAACATCCTTGTAATGACAAACAACAAAACTCTATTGATGATGGAATAGAAGGTGCGCTTTTGAAATCGCGTACTTGGGTGCTAAGTCAAACATCAAGAGGGATTCATAGTCAACACTGTCTTTATTGAGAAAACATTCATCTGATGATATAGCCACACAGCTATTTTTCATATATATATGTGTGCTCTACCATTACGATTTCCATTTTCTTCATATCCAGAGAAATAATGGTTTAAATGGGACTGCTTAGGTAACCATTGATGGAAGAATTGCGATTCCATGTAAATAATAATTAACATACGTTCGGGAGAAAGGAAAGAACTTTTTGGAGGCAGGTTTCAAGGTAATGCTTCGCCACCAATACACGGGTGCTGTTCAGTGATGCACGAGTTCACCAGTGGTCTACCGGCTCGAGTCGCACGAGAATGCGAAAGCGACTTTATTTGAATGCTACAGATGCAGGATACCACTTTTAAATGATAACATTCATTCATGCTTTATGAGTTGCGATAGCAAAAGGTAACAGACTTACCAATAAGGTAAAGGTCTTCTTAAGTTTCAATTACAACGGGTTGTTTCGATCTATTTTCTGCCTCTTTCCTGTTGCATTCTATGCTAATTATAACTTCCGCAAGAACTGCTCCGGTGATGGTGTTGCAGTTTTTCCTTCTCCGCCTCTCTCTCTAATACGCACAGTAGTTGTTTTTGTCTTTTTAAGAGAGTATGTCTGCATCGAGATGATTTTATATACGCTGAGTGGCTGGGCGCATGTCCAACGCCGACCAATCAAGTTGTAGGCCGAGTAGTGTGCCTGTGGCAGCTGAGACGTGCGTGCTTCGCGACGCATGCGCGCAGGAGAAAGTGAAGACGAGGCAGGAGCGTAAATGCATGCACGCATGAACACAAGCAGGGACGACGGTGATAACGAGGCGGATTGAGTGTCAATCATGCAGTCTCGCACGTTATTTATTCTCCGGTCCGCACCCCATCTACATACACGCGTGTTTGTGCATGCGCGGAGGCACGATTGAACGTGTTCCCTCCTTCATTGGTCTGGCTCTGAGTGCGTGCACGTGTCCATGGGGCAAGCACTCCCTCCGTAAATGCAGCCTTATTAGGCTCTTTCAGCCTGTTGTGTTTTGACAGGAGGAAAATCTCTGCCGGGGGGAGGGGGTGAGAGAGAAGACGAGGGAGAATAGGAAAGCAGAGATCGCAACACATCACTCGGGTGCGTGCGTGCATCCTTTCGTGGTTCGCGTACCAGCGGACCAACCCACCACCACTGCCACCGCCCCATCGCCACACATCGGTAGGGAAGCGATGAGGCATTGGGGCTGGGCGTGTGCTATGGTTTGGGCGTCTTGAATTGACTAATAACTGCCTATTTTAAACCACTTTTTATCCAAATTCTATGCAAAGTTTATTGCGTGTTTCCCAAAGGTGGTGGCCTTTAAATGACCCATTTTGGAAACTTTTGCACCTCTTAAGGAGTCTTGGCTTGATTCATTTTAGAGCTGCGCAACAGATTGCACACTATGGATTTGGTAGTGGCATAGGCCACGTGGATCTGGGGTTTTTCTAATATATCATGTTATTTTAACAGGTGACCTCGAATAGGGAGGACTTTTAGACGCCACATGAAAAACTTTAAATGGTAATAATGATGCATGAAAGTCAAGACACCGATTCTACACCCTTTTGTGACACACTTAAGCCAGGGCGAAAATGATAAATATTTCTACAAGAATACCTTTGCTGTATGAAAGCGTTACTGGCCGTATCAGAATTTGAAATTTTAATCACTCACGCATAAATAGATTAACAATGGCATTACCGAGCCGCGAGTTATCAAAATCTAGTCATTAGTTTAGGATTTGATCGCGTCTTGATTTAGCAAACAACTGCGCTGCTAGGATTGTATGATACGCAACTTCGCCGACCTGCACGCGATTTTAGCTCTTGTATTTTAACTTAATCAATTCCGAAAAAATCTGCTCCTTCCTCTTCTCGCCATTTTTGAGTGTAAACAGCTGTTTTATAATGACTAACAATGAGTGAAATCAGCCACGACTCTTAGAAAGAAGAGTTAACGCGTGTGAGTATGTGCTATAAAGTGGTACTAATCCATGTGAACGGGGAGCGTCACCGTGGCGCATTAAACTCCCACATTGCCCACAGCACATGTAAGGGGCGTTGCACCAAGAACTAGTAATTCCCCATTCCCATTAACGATCGGCTAAACTGACAGATTGTGTTCAACCAAAAAATTACTGTCAATTACTTCTGTGCGATATCTTAAAGCTGCAAAATGATCTGACTGCAACATTATCAAAAGCAAGATTCGGCAGTGAAAGTCACTTTGAATGGGGTCATTTTAACGGTCCATGTCCCACCATCCCCTTCGAACTTCGCTACGGGGCGCTAGATTAGTGGAAGTCGGGAGCCATTTGGCACAGAAGGCAACTCTGACAAAGTTCCTGAGATAAATTAGGTGGTCGCACACCAAACACCCCCCTAACCGCTTTCGATAATTGGCAATCGTACATATGAGTCCTTTCCTGTTCTATACATCCCCACCCAACAGCGGTAGCAATTTAGCGTGAGCCGTCATAGCGATGCACCACCACCCACTTCAGTCAAATACAAGCATAATTTTAACAAAAAAAGGTGTAAACGCGCACACTGAGTCGCATAGCAAATAAGTATTAAAACAGGCGTCCTCATTTATTTTTCATAATGACGCAATGTGATCGAGAGCAGTGCGGGATATCAGTGGGATGGGGGAGGAGTAGTGGGGGTTCAGCACATCCCCCGAATAGTTTGAGGGCATTTATAAATGCTGCACAGGCATGGAGGATGAAAAAAGCACATAACCAGCTCATGTTGAATAAAAGAATATCACGAAGTCGAGAAGCGAGACAAATCATTCTCCTTCCGCAAAATTGCCCTCATTGATTCCCTGGATGGTGATGAGGCTCGGTGGCAGTGAGACTGTCTCGATGCGAACGCAGACCCCCCACCATAGACTTTCGGCGCACTGCTGGGACACTTTCAGGAGTGGCGATAGTAACGCCCGTCGATTCCTGAAGGATCTCTTCCTTTTCAATAGCCTCTTCCTCAGTTGTCGATTTCTGTTGAGCAGTTTTGGCTCGCGCCATGTTGTAGTCGCCAGAATCGAAAAATTTGTGCTGGAATATGCAAAAAGTTGAGATGGATACTGACCCAAGAAAAACACGTTACCCAAAAATGGAATAGTTTAAAGCCGCTGGACATTTGGTATTGCTCCACTTGTTTAAACGAGATTTACTTTAACATAGTCCAAACTGGATTTGGCTCATGATTACAACACAAGCTCCAGACTTTTGTAGAGACGATCAATTATTTAAAAAAGGCGAATCTTGCCACATACTTAAAAAATTAAGTAACGAGGTTGAACCAATGCAAATGGTTTGTGCATTCGTAAAAAAACGCTTAGTTAACTCCAAAAATTGACTATGGCATTTTAGCTAATTGCAATTAAGTTTACGAAGGTAACGCCACAAAAAGTGGTGGGACTGCGAGACTCCACGAGGTAGACTAAGAATAACCAAATAGTGATTTAAATAACTGCAAATAAGTCCAGGGAAATCAGATTGAATTTCCACTTTGACGGCTCAATGACGATAGCATAAAGCGCACAGCTCCCTAGTGGGAGAAATCGCCTAATTCCCATATCTCGAGAGAGTTGCAAATACATAAAACTGCTAATTATAATCGTGCTAACAAGTTATGCACAATGAACAGGTACTAATGATTCTCGTTTAAATCACCGAGATATGATGGAGCAGACTTGCACGAGGAGGTACGCTACAACAAACTTTTGCCTTCACATTTAAAAGCTCCAAGAAAACTATTTCAAACGTAGTAAAACCTAAATTACGCGTTATCGATGACGTCAAATGTTGGAATTTATGGGATATATGCTCCATGGAAGCGTTAAACAGTGTTAGAAATAAGGCCATGGGTAAGATTTGGGATGGTAATAACTGTGGCATACCCTCTGATAATCACGATACGGTACCAGAGGGGAGGCTAACGATAAGGGTCAGTAGGCTCTAAGACAACCTCATGATGTTACCTGCTGAAAATGTGATTCAGATGGAAGAATTAATGGTTAGACCACTCAGAAACTGACTGCACAAATTGGTCAAGTGACTAAACCTAAAATTGAGTTCCAGTTACTAATAATCGTAAATGAGTTCGAAGAAGTAAGCCTTTTATAGGATGAGGGTGACTAAATGACGTGACACACCACGGTAACATGCCGAATAACTTAACACATCACAAAATCGAACAAACCAGCTACTGTGGCATGTCTGAAAATGTAACACCATAAGTTGCTAAGACATAGGTTGAACCTAATGTCTTTAATATCGTGACCAAAGCAACCGAATAGTTTGGAGAGCTTGCTAAAATGTTTCAAATTGAAAATATATTGGTTGTATAAAACCCGAGTTTTGCCTCTGATTGGCATGTTCAATGCATGAACAAGCATTGCTAAACGTTGCATAGATTTCCCAGAGCTAACAGTGGAGAACACTTCCTGACGGGTTACGTTACATGAGCGATGCTAATGTTATTATTCCAATCTTTAAGGTTAGCGTTAAAGAATATCCCTGAAAGCCAAATTTCTATTCATAAGCTAGGCAGATAGGGGAATGCAAAGCATAAAGAGCCAAGTTGTTCCTTCTTTAACCAAATACCTTAGACAAATTATCGAAAATAAAAGATGAAACTGTCTTTGATTTCCTCTCTGTACACGAGGATAGTACAGTTGGAGGTGAAAGGTCTATTTGAGTTTGCCACATAGAAAACATACAAGATAGTCTTTTTGGGTAAAAACGACAAGAACTGTTTCGTATTCTTCCATAGAACAGCATGAAATATGGGATATTCTAAAAACTTCACATCGGACCAAGCACTTTTTCGCGTTAACGACCCATGGCCATCAAAAAGTGTTGCTACAAGAACGTCAAAGGCTACCAACTGAGTGAAAGTTACGAATAGAAAAAATACATCTTTTCAGCGACAAAAACCAGCAGGTCACTACTGACGGTACTCACACCTCGATTGAGCCTCTTCTGTAAGAGCATTGAGGCGGCACCCCTTTGGGCTAAACCAGGATACTTAGCTTTTAATTCAGATTCCTGCTCCTCCTGTGACGTCTAAAAAAGATGTCTTCCACGTCGAACATACCACCGATGCTTTGACATCTGAAGCAGACATAACTTCAACGTGTGCTACACACTGCTTAAAATAACGACTAAATACACATTTCTATCCAATGAAATCTTAGTACAAAATTTCGATGAACGCGGTATACTCAACTTGCTCAAAAATGGATCGAGGATTGTGGAATCAAAAACCAAAGGCCAAAACAACCAGTTTTGATTGAAAACCTGCATAACAACTCACCCGTTGCTGAATAAGTGCAAAGAATTATCAAAAACCACGGGCACATTAACACATCAAATGACTAGGTTTTTCCCCATGCCCATGAAAATTCGTGTTTTTGCCTACTACACCTGAGATTCCAAAGATTCCGTCTTGCCAGGAATGGTTGGAAAAGGTCAAAGCACTATGAACGAATACTCTGGTTGGTGACACTCCGAGCAGGACGTTGAAACCGTTTAGCAAGAAAACCGACAGCTGCAAGTGGAAGAATTCTAAGCTTTAAAGGAAAAGCACAATCAAGTGTATGGTAAATACTGACGAGGTCAGGTCCACCTGGCAGACATCGAGGAGCATACTGTCTTCACTGCTGGAAGGGATGAATAACAAGAATGACGAGAGACCCAGGGGCGAAGTCGTAAAACCTTCTAGATCCCCACTAGCTTCACCCATCGCCCCAGTGAAGAGGAAGAAAGAAAACCCTTGGTTGCATGCCAACAATTAGGAATGAGAGTCAATGACAAGAAAGAGCTCTTCCCTAACTGCGTACCAATAGTCCGTTTGACTCTCTATATTGATCCAAGTAGTTTTTCGTATAATACGCAAAATCCGGGAACTGACGATGTCTAAAGCGAACAAATCAAAGGTTAAATTTATTACTACCCATCAGTCTTCATGGAACGTAGACCATCCCCTTTAAATCCTGCAACGCAGCAGCCGTTTTTCAACGGCTGATGGCAGCATCCTGAATTTAATTATTACTGAAACAGTCAAAGTATACCCTGACGACATATGCAGTTTCAATAAAGATATTCATAAACTTATTTCTGTCCCTAAATTGGTGTTGGTTTGTCCACAAGAAGCAGGTTTGTTACCGAATCTG